GTACAGATTTATCAGATAGGACAAGATCTGAACAAGCGAATTATCTTCTAAAGATCTTGATAAGATCTTACCTACCAATCCCAAGATTTCAAGATCTTACTTACAAGATGTTTCACTAGGGTGTTTAGTAGGAGAAACTAATGAACCAATGAGCTATTTAGTTCTAGATTAAGCGGTAACATAGGGTAATGTTACTTTTGTTATCATGTTACTTCTCTATTTTAGGCGAAAATATTACAACAATGGATCATCTACGCACTTTAACAAAAGAAGATTGGGAAAAATTAAGTAAAATAGGTCATGTTGTTAAACAACTGATACGGGATTATATGCAAATTAACACTGCTATCAGGTCGTTTGATCAAACTAAAAACCCGTATGAAGAATCGACAGCAGCTTTAATTGGTGATATTCATCGTGTTCGTCGATATTTTTACTATTCAATAAAAAAACTGCATCTTGTCCCTCATTTATCACCTGAAGCAGTTGATTTAGCTATAAAAGAAGTCAGGAAGACTTACGATGATGACGGCAATATATTAATTAATATTCATAATTATTTACGAACATTTTGCTTGGAGAACAAAGTTGAAGATAAAAAATCGTACGAAGTAAAAGTAAAAGACTGGGCTGATGAAGTTGAAAGGTTAAAGAAAAGACAAAAGGAACTAGTATTGCAAATAGATATTGGTAACGAAAGACGTACCAAGGCACGAAGAAATCTCGAAGTATCAAAAGAACGTCGAGATAAAATATATGAATACAATCAAAAGGAATACGATAAAGAAAATATACTGTATACGACTTTGGTTACAGAGTCCAATAGGAACAAAAATCGAATAGAAGCTTTAGAAAAAATGATGGAATTTAAATTAGATGATCAGCAAAAGAAGTTAACAGTAAAATATGGACGTGGTTTGCTACTATATGGCCCACCAGGAACTGGTAAGGAAAACGCTTCTGATACCTTTCATAGTTTTGCGGTTAGAAGCAAAAAGGTTGTTAAATTTGTTTCTCATAAGAGATAATGTTCATGATCTGCAGAAAATTGATTCACTGTACACGTATGTCGTACCGAAGTTACACTGTTCCTAGAAAAAATATTATGCTAGAAATGAAAGTTTATGTATTTATACGATCAGAATCCTAACCTGCAAGTTCTTGTTGAAATTTAAGTATGAAAATAAAACTAACTACACAAATTTCAGAAATCAGTATTCGTTCTCTCAACAAAACTTCCGACTACAAATTTCATTCTCTAGCTTTATTTGGCGAGACACAATTATTCATTCGATGCATTTCACTCACACGGTCAGTCGTTATAGGCAAATAGTTGGCTATGTAAGGGATACTTTATACTGTAGTTTAACGCCTCTGAATTTAACTACATATTACTAATATTTACATCAGTAATTGAGATTCTTCATATTAGCATATGAGATGATTTCATTTAATCATAATTTAGCCACGAGAAGGCATCAGACTGTGCATATCATTTATGTTTTCAATAACAACATTTAACAGGTAAATCTGAATTACTCAAACGAGTCGCAATCTATGCTGGAATAACCATGACTACACAACCATTATCTGCTGGTGAACTTAATCGACCGTATGTTGGTGAAACTGAAAAGCTTCTTGTTGATATTATGTATCGAGCAAATAGCATTCCATTCTTGATATGTGCAATGACTATTGATGAAATAGATGGTCTTGTACCCAAACGTAACAATAATGCGCAACAATCCAAAGTCGATGGAATTAGTGTTCTGCTTTCACATATTGAAGGTGTTAAAAATATTCCAAATTTAATCGTTTTTGGTGCTACCAATCGACGTAATATGATGGATGAAGCATTCCTTCGACGAATGCAAGCAAAAGTATTTGTTGGGCGTCCTTCACCTGCTATTAGAAGTAATATGTTACTACCATTAGTGTGCAAAAATTCACAAGTTTTTACACCAACACGTATACAATCATTAGTTAAAATTACAACAAATTTTAGTGGTGCTGCAATAGGTGCATTGAAATCCAGTCTGATTATCGAGTTCGATCGAGGCCGTATCACAGAACATCGTCTGTTAGAATTAGCTGATGGTGTTGCGAGAGAATTTAATGTTTGGTTTGGTATAAGTACATTACCAGAAATATGTCGGATAAATCCAAATATAATTAATCCTGCAGATCAAGAAGATGAGTTCTCATTGGATTTTCAAAAAATGATACCAACAGGGCGCATATTAATTGATTATACTGATCGTAAATGTCGTATTGAGATACATAATGAGCCAACGTTGGAAAAAGATTTAAATAAAACTGAAACTTCTATGCCACATTTATTAGCACGTTTCATATATGGTTGTTCAACGAGGAATATTGATACAGTACAAATTATTGATCTAAATTTTTTAATAAAACAAAATGCTTTTGGCGAAGATCAAATATTTGAAATACTAACAACAATATTTCTTGAATGTAATGAATATAATAGATCAATGCTTATATTTGATATTGATTCATTAATAATGTTAAACAAATCTGATTCAGAAATGTCAAAATCAATTTCAAATATACGTATCTATCAATTCGTACGAGAAAAATGTAAAACGTCTATTATTGAAGAAACAGAGCCTGGCCAAGAGGTAGATACAAAGTGTAAATAAGGAGTTTTTTCTGAGTCTAAAGATGTTTTAATACTTTGATTCCTAAAGAATTTTGTCAAAATCGAAAACTCAACAATGTTGTCTATTCTCAGGTAGATTTTAAAGAGTTTTTGATTTTCTGATGGAAATTGACTAGTGTACTATTTCCCTTTTCTAAGCTTCCAGCCCTTCTCAAGTTTACAAATCTTTGACTAATATAGTATATGTGGCAAATAAAATATTTACATTTAAAATATTCTCCTTAGGGTAAAACAATGAAAATTGAAAAATGGATTGTTATGGTTGTAAAAGACCCATGGTTGAGGGATACATTGATTGAGGATATTGAATTCCAGAAATCTTCCGCTCAACTTGTTGCAGAAGAAACAGAAAAAGCCACTCGTCAAGATGAAGAAACACCGAGAAAGTGTCCAAAGTGTTTAAGAAATTACGTACCAAAGGAAGCACGTGATGGGAACTGTTATTATCATCCTGGTTTCGTTGTCGACATTAATAATCCCAAGAAACCGATGACTGGAGAGGAAGCTCAAGAAGTTTTACAATGTGCTATATTAAAGAAATTATCGGAAGAAGAAATGCCCAAATTAATATGGGCTTGTTGTTTACATATATTTAGCGACTCATCACACCCATGTGAAGTAGGCAGATGCGGTTTGCCAAAAGAACTGGAAGGTCAAATTGACATGAGTCAAGATAACTATGTTGCCTTAGTACAAGAAAAAAACAAGGAAAATGCGAGAGCTAAGAAAAAATTCGAAGAATTTTTGCAAAGGTACAGACAAACAACAACAAGCAAAAGTTCAGCAGACTCATCAGGAAAATCAACGGCAAGCTCTATGGCATCGCAATTTAGTTATAAATCGTCATCATATTCTTCATAGACTGTGCAAAGATATGACACTCAAGTATTGACAAATATCCTAAATTTATTTGACATTTATAAAATAGTTTAAAAGACTTCTAATTTAAACAAATCAAACTTGCACGCTTTGTTTTATTATTTTAGATAGATATACTCAGCTGGTGCTTTCATTAGTACCGAAAGCAAGCTACAATTAACTTGAAATTAATTGTTTTTGTTTATCCTCAGTTGTCCAAACATGCTGTCGTACTTTTAAAAGATAGTAACAATTGTGAGATTGTAAGTAAGATTGAACCAAGTTTTTTCGTAACATTATATTAAAAGAAAAAGATGAAAAAATCTGCTTGATATAGTACATCGAAATTGATAAGTATGTAGAACTTTAATCACTTTTAATGAACATTTCAAAAATGAGTCTGAACATATTTAGAATATCGTAATATTACAAGCTTAGAAAATGTTGTTTATTTTATAAGATTAAAGAAAAATAACAAGACTGACATTCTTTTCATTTGTTGGGTAGTCTTTTAAGTCATACCCAACAGGAAATCATTCAGTGCAGTCGTTAGTTTTGACAGTCTTAAAATGAAGGAGAAATGAGACCTAAGAACCGTGTTTTTGACATGTAAAAGCAAGACGAATGCTCATATTTACTTTCAAATTACAATTGTGAGAGCTGTGGTCAAAGCACGTTTGAAATAGTACAAGCATTCTCGACTAAAATAGCTCCTAAGTTTATTCATGTTGATATAATTCCAAATATTACTTCTTGACTAAAGAAAAACAGGTAGTGAAATTTTCTTAATAAAACTTGATATTTTGATGTATGCGAAAGATCGAAACTAAAAGTTTAGAAATGCTCATATTTCTCTTTTTTTGACACCTGTTTTATTTTTTGTTTTCTTTCTTTCAGATTTTTTTAACCCCACAGCTCCTTGAAGCATTGTTTCACACGTAAGCACTAATTTTTATATTTCGAAATCGTATAAAGACATAATGTTATATTGCATGCGTTTCATATATAGAAAGCCATCCAACTTGTCTGATAGATTCCAGCTATTTGTTTTTATCTTTTGCTTACATAGTTTCATAATGAATGGCTGCATCAGTAACTTTGAATGACGACGAATATTTTATTGTTCACCTTCCTGAATACAGACATGCAGATACACAGCGACAAAGAGCGGCTGAACATTATGCTCAACAAAACAAGCCCATACAAGACTTAAAGAAACAAGTGCAAGCACAAAAATCCAAAGTTGTCACAGAATATGATTCTATTCTGAAAGAAAGTTCGAAACAATTAGAAGAACTCCGGGAACAAGCAAATCGTATCAAAGATCTTGAAGATGCTACAATAAAATTATATGAGAAAAAGATCGACCTGAGCAAACAAATTCACAAAGACGAAGTCGCTATAGTCAAATTTCAAAAAGAGCAAGAGACATATAAAAATGATCTGGAAAGTCTCAACGAAAAAATGATACAATATGAAACAGAGGAAGAACTATTAAAGCAACAATTGTACGATCTCAGAGAACGAAAAAATGCGGCAACTAATGAACAGGATTATATACAAATGTCATCAAAGGAGTTAGAAAATTACTTAAAACAAGTGCGCGCAGACCTACAGAGAAAAGAAATACAGCTAGCAGAACTTGAAAGCAAGCGCAAGGAGTTAGAAGAACAAAAAGACGAAATTATTAAGAGTATTAAGACTCTCGAAAAAGGTATTGAAGCCATAGAGAAAGAAATTAAGAAACTAACGGAAAAATACCTTGAAATAACTACAAAACAAAAAGATTTGGAAAAACAAATTGAACAAACTCGGTTGATGATTGCAAAATTGATGGAAATGGTGAAAGAAAAAGAAAAGGGTATTTTCCAATTGGAAACGCATATGGCAAATCAAGAAAATATTATTGGTCAACTGCAAGATGAAGTAAAAAAGATGCAAGAAGAAGCCAAAAGACTAACTGAAAAGATACAAGATTATCAAAAGGATTTGATTGACCTACAAAAAACTATAGATAAACTTGCTCTAGATCGTACAATACTAGAAGATAGGCAACGTGAACTTGAAAAAGCACTTCAGACAATGGAAAATCAGCTGCTCGAGACTAATAATGGATTAACAATTTCTATAGAAAAATTAAAAAATTCGGAACAATTACATTCTCAAGCAGAAGTTAAAGTAAGAGAACTTGAAGTAAAGGAAAACCAGTTAACAAAGGAAATTGAAGAGCTTCAAAAAATTTCAGACAATTTATTGGAAAAAATAAGTGATCTAGATAATGAATGTGCGGATTTAAATAATCTTATCGAAGAAGTAAAAGTTGACAATGCAACAGCTGATAATGAATATAAAGACGCTCAACAATTGCTAAATGCTTCGAAACAACAGGAGCGCGACGATACTCAACAGTATGAAAAAGCACTGCAAGAAGAGAAAGTTATTGAATCGCAAGTAGCTGCAGCGTTGCATGATCTGCAAATGGCCGAAGCAGAATTAAACGCGGTTAAAGCTAAAGCTACAGCAGAGGCCATATGGAAGACGATTGTACTTGTACTACAGTTCATATCACCTGAAATGGCACTCGGTGGAAGCCTGATGGGCAAGTCGAATAACGCAGAAGCGGAGTTGAGTGATATTAAAGCAAAACTTGAACAGAAGCGCACTGCGCATAATGATCTAAAAAATAAATTGGGCGAAGCCAAAATTAAAACAAGTGGATTTCAATCGAAACTGAAAACAACTACAGAGGAATGTTCAAAACAAGAAACTAATGCGACGAACAAAAAGCAAAATTTTGATAACTCAGCGAGAAAACTGAAGGAGTTGAAAATTCAACTTCGTGATATTACTCGCCGTCGTTCACAAACCGAGGCACAACAGAAGAAAGCTAATACTAAGTTAGAACGGGATAAATTGCAGTTGTCTTCAGTTACCAATGATGTACAACGATATAGCCAAGACGCAGAAAACTACCGTGTTCAAATAGTTTCGATCCAAACAGATAACAAGACTTTACAACAACAGATAAAACAACAACAGAGTACGATCGCAAAACACAAAGAAGACATTGAAGTAAATCGTACGCTTCTGATCAAAGTAACGGAACAATATAAACAACAGACATCTGCTTCAGAACAGCAGAAAAATAAGATAGAAGATTCCAAGAAAGCTTTAAGCGAGATGCTCAATCTTGAAAAAGCAAAAGTTCGTGAAATTGATAACCAACAAAAGTTAAAAGAATCTAATGCGAAAAAAGTAGAAGAGTTACGTGAAGAAATCAAGGTTAAAGAAAGTCAATTGGAACCACTCAAAACAGAACTAGGTAAAGTAAAAGAAGAAGTAGAGGCATTAAATGAATCTATGAAGAACTTACAGAGAAAGAAAACATCTTTGGGGAATGATAAAAGTGAGATGCACAAAAAGATTGAAGGATATGAGCAATCTCACAAAGAACTGAATGCAAAGATGCAAAAGGAAGCGGCTCATATGGAACAGCTCCGTGCAACAGTGAAAACATTGGAGGATCAAAAAACTCGAGTACATAAAGAAATTGAGATTTTTGACCAGCGATTAAAAAATAAAACGTTGGAACGTGAAAAAAATCAAACAGAAATGAATCAAGCGAATGATTCCTTGAAAGAAAATAAAAGGAAAATGAAGAAGCTTCACGAGGAGGTTAACGACGCAATTACCGAAAGAGATGCAGTTGACGACAGTATAAAGACAAATCAAAGAACAATTGCTACACATGAGGAAAATTTTCAAAGCTTGGTTGAGAAAATACACAATGCTACAGAGAAATCAACCAACAATAACAAACAAACCGTAGAGATTAATCAACGATTAGAAAAGGTGCAGACAAAAGTTACCGAACTTAAAAAAGTTTTTTGGGAGGCACAAGGAGAATTAAACAAGCAACAGTATGAAATCATCGAACGAGAGGTTGACCGTATAAAGTCATCAAGGATTGGCAATGATGTTCCGCTTCCTAACAGAAACCGTTTATTAAATAATCAGTGAGTACAATGTAAAACTGAAAATGTCTTCGAATCTAAATAGTTCTGGTAAAATAAAAATAAAACTAATTATGATATGAATATTGAAGAAATATTTATACATATAAAACAGCGTTTTTCGACACCTATTGTTCACAAGAAATCGATTCGTTGGACCTACAGTTGCGTTACTTTTTAGATCTATCCGGTATTAAAAATGATTCCTTTTTATAATGTTTGACAACATTCAACATGAAAATTTCCTTTCATTTTTAATCCCTTCCCCAATAAAAGTCGCTTGAAATATATAGAGAAGTCTTTGCAAAACGCGACGGTATGCTTTTAAGAAACAGAATTTTCTAAGCGAAGAAAACCAAAGACGCTGAGCTATCGAAAGACATATGTCTAAAAAGTCTAAACACAAGAACACATTTTTATTTCTGAGATACACATTCACCAACTTCAATGAAGAAAGATGTCTGAATAATTTTTGAGATACTGTATATATGTGCTAGTGCACAAAAGTAGGGCTGGAGCATTTTATTTAACGTGAGTTACTTAACGGCGTTAATTAACTAAAAGCGTTAATCATTAATATTAACGGTTTTAGTTAAAGTTAATTTAAAATAAACGTAGATGTACCACCCCTACTTCCAGGTCAATTTCTCGGTACATGTCGAGACACATAGTAAAGGCCAGGTAGCTCAGCTAAACGGCTTGTCCACGTAACGCGCTACTTCAGTGATGAGGTTTTGATTTCAATATTCGAAATGAACCTTTATGCCACGTTGTAGAGCATACACGAAAGTGTAAGAAAGTGTATTTTATTAATCAAAAAATTATCGTTGTTAGTTTTTAAAAATGAATGCATGATGTGTTCATAACTGCATGGTCAATTGCAGTTTTTTTACTGTTGCTCTGCGATCAACGGTGCACGTTGATGTTTTACTTCCAGAGTTCAATATCAAAAGTTTTGTGAGCTATATAGAGCAACCTTTCTTTTGATTAAAGAATAAATTAAAATATTTTCTTCTGCATGGAAAAATTCTCAAAATAAAACTTCATCAATTTTACCGTCACAGCGTTATGAAATGGATCTTATTTTCAAATTTGAACTAGTATCTTACAGAATATAATAAAACTAACTAGTGGACCATTGCTAACTTTTTATGGTGATTCTGGCACACTCCTTTTTATTTAAAAAATATTTTCTTTTGGGGTAGATAAACGTAACGTTGTGACACAAACTTCATATTTTGTGCTATTTTTACTTTAAATAATTGAGAACTAATTTTAATATTATGATCGACAAATAATGAATTCATGAATTTAAAGTTGTTCTTTACCTTTCTGTATTTGTCTAGCGGTGAGTATCTCGAAAATTTCTAGTTTTTGTTGGTTTTACGACGTTTTTTCTATGATTAATTTTAATGTTATTGATCGGTGTGTATTCGAGATCAGCATGAAATTTGCCATTGAACTACAGGTGTTTATACTGAGAAAAATAAACATATTTTTATCTCTTGAACACGAGGAGTGTATAAATTTGTCGTGTTGTTATCGGTCGAAATAAGCAGCCGTTATTTTCTTTCCTGCCGTTATTTTCTTTTCTCCGTTCATCATATATAACTAGGCGAGAAAGAAAAAGAAGAGTCATTCCCATCTATACGATAATAAACAGTTGCACAGAAAAACTAAGAGCTTTTTGAAAGTTGAATGAAACCTGAAGCGAGTATTTTGACCTAATAATATAAAACAAAGATATAGTTATAGTGTTAAATGTAGAATTACCTGAAATAATGTTGAATGGAATGACTTGAAAGAAATGTAAGCCTTTCAATATAAAATATAACTTCAAATATAAATTCTAGTAATCCATGGTAAAAGAAGAAACGAATATAATTGTTGCAAGTAAAATTGTCTTATTTGTTTTTCTCAAAGATTTAAAGAGCAATGTGACTATTGAATGTAACTTGAGATAAATGTTTGAATTGTGTAATCTAAAACAAAAAAATAAAAATTGCCATTCAAAAGATGGAATTTCTCGGCAAATAGTTCCGTTGGATAACGTGCAAGAACACCAATGGCATTGTCTCTAAATATACATTCATATAAACATTGAATTTGAAAAGTCTATAATGGATAGCTGAGATTAATAGTTTTAAGGATAGGCGTACATCAGGGAGGATTGTGATGGCGAACTTAAAAGAAAAGTACTTCAATTTTTCAGTTGGATGAACCTATTAGAAGTATATTACGAAACGTGCAAGGGTTTCATACGAACCTTGACTCAACTTTGACTTTCACAAAAGTATGGTATAAAACCTCTGTCACGTCAGAACCTTATAAAACGATCGCACCGAACTTTTTCTAGTACTAAACCTACAAAAGGTTTCGCAGATTCATACCATAACTCTAAGGGTTTAATAAGGTGCCACCAAACCTTAAAGGCTCCGTAGAGCATCTTTATTTTTTTCAGTATGGTTTTGAATGGGGTATTCATATGATTGAAAATAGAAATATAGTTTATTTAAGACTATCTGAAGTGATGGACATAGGACTTTTGTGACGAGTAGCGCTTTGATAGGTGGAGGGGGGCGATCTTTTTCAAAACAGGTATCTTGAACTCCATCCATCAGAAGTAGTGTCGATTCATTTTTGAACCTTCCTCCTACGAAAAATTGAAACAAATAGCTATGATATAAGTAGCATCTCGAGTATGGCACTTAGAGGTTAATTAGTAGATTGAAAATATTTGATTATGATTCTCATAAAGCAATGATTAGAAAACCTTTTTTCGTCTGGAAGCCCATGATTTATTGTTTTTTGTCTTTTAGCTTCTGTGACAACTACCATTGCTGTGCCTTCCTGTGAGTTGTTCTTATCTGTTCGTCTTTCTTCTTTAATTTTGTACTTCTGCGTCTACAGCTATTCTTCAAAATTCGTGCACTGCGAATCTCACCAATCCTGTGGTTGTATTATACCTTTCAAATATATCCTCTACTAGTGGCTATGTCTATTACTCATATTCTTATCAATCAACGGCAAGTTCTCTCACCCTAACTATGGCCTTTCGTCAGGACCCAGCATATTGGGCTTTAGATGACATCTCGGTCGCCCTATCAACAGGTGGCCCCAATCTTGTGCAGAATCCTGGTTTTGAAACAGGCTCGTTGACTGGCTATTATACACTCTGCAATCCAAGCTCATCTTCTTCATCTGGAACCGTTTCCTCGGCATATCCTCACTCGGGTACCGACTGTTATTATGACGGGAGTATTGGAAACCCAGATTACCTTTCACAAACAATGGCTGCGATTCCAAACAACTATTATACAATTAGCTTCTGGCTGTGGAATAAGGGTGGACCTGCAAATTCAGCTACCGTGGTCGTCAGCGATTAAGACTGAGATATTATCTGTACTGAGAACCCGCTTGTTATTAGTATTTTTCACATTTTTTTCCTTTTATTATTTTGCATACGTGATCAATATCAATCTTATTGAAAATATTCATTTTCTCCTTACTTGTTTTTCTTTTATCACATAAGACTACACTAGCAACGAGCTTCAATTCTGAGCATTACCATCATGCGGGTGTTGGTTGTTGATTGGATGAACAACCATACCAACGCCCTCAATAACTACTTTAACATTTGTGATCTAGAGTTGTACAATATGTATCTTATGTAAATAAAAATCTCTCACGGTAAAAGCTGATCGTGAATACATTTTCAAAATCCTTAAAAGGTTTCGGAATACATCTCTATCTTTTATAGTGGGTAACGACGGCTTCAATGAAACTACATCAAAATTCGCCGAAATTTACTTGCTATCTGTAGTTTCGTCGAAGTGAATAAATAATAAAGGTGCATTCAGAAATCTTTAAAGGGTTTCGTAATAAAACTATTTTTCTTGAAACATGAGCTGTCTCTGCGAGAAAAAAAACATCGGCCTCTATCCATCCATGGAAAAAAGCTTTCTTCTCTCGTAGATTTCTCCTTACTCGATGATCGACGTATATATAAAATCGAAGCGCGATTATAGGACCATATCATTTACACTTTTAATTGTCTTCTTCTATTATTCTCTCTTCAAGCATAGAAAAGCAACAAAGGGACCATGAAAAATAATAGCCAATTGATGTTTTTGACCGCCTTCTTGGTGTTGACGGCTACAAACTGTATGATACAGAGCGTAGTGACCGAAAACTGAAACTAATGACTTTCTCAATCATATAATTAAGAAAAATCAACGTTGTTCTCCTTGTACTGATGGTAATGGTTATTGTCCTCCTGATTATTTTTATATAGGTTATAGTTGTCCGTATTGTGGCAATTCGTGAAACCCCCATGGTCCTGATGGTCCTAAGGGTTGCTGTGGTTGTTGTCCTATTTGTACTGGCAGCGGCAAATAAAGCCGGTATGTTGTGTCATTATAGTATCTTGTTTCGATGATAACTCATCATAAGAATATCGCTGATGTTTTACTTCATCTTTCGTACATTCATTGAGATTATCATCTCAAGTAGTTTGTAGAACTGAAATAATTCATAATTTTTTCTTTCTAAAAAATATGACAGAAATATACATGAACACGGAAAAACCGACATTCCCATTAAATATTATCACTATCATCGAACATTGTCTACTAATTCGTTTCTTTTCCCACATTCTCAACTATTTTCTTTTTTGTTTTTTCTGTATTTGTCACAATTCTCAATTCAAATAAAATATACACACCAAAAATGTACTCTGGCCGACTTCTTGAGATAAAAAACGTATATTTTGCTTCATAAGGACAAAATCCCTCATGCGATTTACTACAAATTTCATTGAAAGTGAAGGTCAGAGATTTTAGATGATGCCGGTAATAAAATCAAAGCATTCATCAAATAACTGTATAGTATAGTTTGCACTGATTTTTTGTTCAAAATTAAATGATAATGAATCCTCACATGTTGCAAGTACAACTCTAGTTTGTGATTACAATATTCTCTTACTTTGTTTTGAAATTCGATTGTACGTACCTCGCAGACGTCATTTAAATTGAACACTTGATTGACACCATCAAACAATACCCACTGAGGAAGGCCAAAAAAATAATGAAAACCAAATTATTAGTTTCCAATCAAGAAAAAATGAAATTTCTACTTATAAAACTAATAAATTAATCGGTTATTTTGAAAAATCTCGACGGTGTGGGTTTAGACTCTCTTTCTTTCTTTCTTCATCTACCATATGCACAATACTGAAAACAGGCCCAATAAGCTACTATTAACAATTTATAAGTTGGAGGAAAATTCAATAGAGCACAACTAGATAATTAACGATAATAGAGTAACCTCTACATTGATTAAAAAAAAGCGCCGAATGATAAACCTTTAAAGCGTTTATGAAAATCCAACGTATGATATACCCTTTTCTACTGTTTAGCAGCATGTAATAAACTCTTTTATCTACCCATCAAAAGACGAAATAAAAAGGTTTATCAAGTGAATATGCCGCGTGCCGAAAGGTTTATCATAGCGTTTATACGATTCAACAACTTTAAAAGGGTGTATCATACGTTGCATTTTCATAAACCCTATCGTAGGTGTTAGAGAGTACTGTAACAAGCTATTTATTTATTTATTCTTGTTTCATCTTTATACGTTATGTATTTCTTATATGTGCAATCCAACTCGATATTCACATACGTCAACCGCTCTTTTTCATTCTTTCTTTCCTCCCTTTGCATATCTCTCTATTGTGCCTTCTATCCTCCCGTGCGTGAAGACCTAAATAATGGCATCGTTTCTTCCACTGGAATTTAAGTGTATTTATAGAATGATGCACCATCATCTTTATATACAAAACAGTTTAGTCGAAGAAACAAATGCGTTTTCTTCCTTTGTTTCTTTTCTCTCTCTCTTGTGTGTGTGTGGGGGNAGTTGGATTGCACATATAAGAAATACATAACGTATAAAGATGAAACAAGAATAAAGAAAAGATTCAGATTAGGAATCGAAAATAGGAAATTTGTTGTTGGTTGGTTAAATAGAAACATAAATTTCTATTTTGTGAATTAATTTAAGTTACAGTGGGGCCTCTGTAACACTTTCTATCTCAGTTTTTCAATATCTTCATATTAAACACAAAAATGCATGTTTATATTTCCGAAGTTTTCCTGTCATTATTATCTACACTGCTATATTCTACAAAATCAAACACATCGCTAATGTAAAAAAGCCGATGATCGAATAAGACTACTTACCAGCCGATATCAAAATGCTTTTTTTTAATGTGAGTTTACAAGAGGTATTACTTTGTATATATATAGATGTTACATATTTTTTCTGTTTTTCTAACATAAAGTGTTTACCTGAGTCAATGAAGTGTGACTCTAATTTCGCTACTTCTTATTCTCGCATATCAAAACATTATTTTATGTACACCGCTAGTTCACCAAATAAGTGACCCATATTTTCCTTTCGGTTGTGACCAGTGCAGAACTAATGATGGGCATCTTACTATTTCTTTTCATCAAGTTAGCGCGTGGGTGGCTGTATAAAATAGCATTAACCAAACTCAGATCTTCACACCGACATCCTAAGAAACCATTTTTGACTCAAAGGTAAAATAATCAGCACATGTCCGTAAAGTAATAAACCTTTCCGATCAAACAGTAGAATGATAAACCCTTTCAACGAAAACACGAAAAGATCAACCCCTGTAAGATGAACAATGAACTTCTTTCAACAAACGAGAAGTAGAATCAACCGACGATAAAACTATCTTGAGATGCTAAGGTAGATAAGCCGATATTTGTCAGTAGAATAAAAGCACCTGTCAATGGAGAGGCACAGAATCGAGCATTCATGTACAGTACTAAACCCTTTTTATTGAGCTGTAGACGAATCAACTGTTGAATGTGGAATACTAAATCCCCAGCAGGAAATGGTAGTAGAATCTACGCTTAGGCGTAGAATAATGAACTGTTTCTGAGAAGGATAGCTTATTCTACCCAGAAAGGCAAAGTGATGTACCCTTTTAACGAAAAAGTAATATAGTAAACCCGATAACGAAGAAAAAAATACCCCTACCTTGAAAGCGAACAACAATCTACTATCATCCGTTGAAGGATATAATCTTATCTTAAAATCGTAGAATAATGAATTTTTATGCACCCATCATGTACCCCTTAAGTTTTCATAAACCCATAACGTCATAAACCCTTCAACTAATAAACCCTAAAAGGGTTCATCACATCGGAATAAATCCTTCAAGGGTTTAATGGCAACTTTTTTAAATGCAGGGGTAGGTCATTGCCCGAATTTTTTTATCAGTGTATACTGTTAACAGCTATCAAAATGAAAAATTTTAACTTTCCTTTCGGAATGGAAAGTGAAAGTGCCACCCCTAATGCCGTATACATCATGATTCAAGACCATATTGAACCGTGCTGAAAATTTTTCTGTCATCAAAGTCATGTGGTGCCACGAAAACCAAAGTACCGGAAAACACATTCTGGTTACCAGGCAGAGTGATATTAGATAGAGAAAAACCAGTAGACAGATAAGATTGAGTCGTTTTTTAAGATTCTGGAGACCAGAATGTGTTTGCTGGCAGTGTTGTTTTCGTGGCACCACCTGGCTTTGATGGCAAAAAAAATTTCACCGAGGTAGAACATGATGTTCAATCATGATGGATACAACAAACCTTACATTCAAAAAAAGATCCCTAAATTGAAAAATTCCTAAATCAAAATCCCTATTTAGTCACTAGTGGGGATAATATTCGTTTTATCATCCACAAATAGGGATTTTATTTATGGATGTATCTAGGGATGGCGATTTATGGTAAATGATAGACATTCTAGATTTGAATTTAAACAGGTGTTTTTCCTGTAATAATATTTGACTATGGTTGCTCTTGTATTTAGATTCAAATCTATGTTTGATGCATACTCATAATGAGCGATCGTATTTTTGCAATACACTTTTCAAATATTGGCTCGATTATAGATAATTTCTGGAATTACTGTATTTTAAAAACAAAATAGCTTAAACAAGTGTATTAGTACGAAGTGTCTGAATTGTTGCAATATTCAATTGTTGTCTTTGTCGTATTTGTTTTTCATTATTTTGATGATTGATTATTGTTATTTCTCTTGATATATCATGTTTATTCTTGAATAAATTAATTAAAACTTTTTTTGATAGATTTCTAAGTATTGACGATGATAAATAATTGAGATAGAACATTGATATATAATTAAAATAAAAAAGAAGACGAACTATTTGAAGAAGAAGATATTCTTGTGCTCGACGATATTCAGTTTTAATTACTGTTTGTGTTAAACTATCATAAATATTTTGAACACAATAAGGTATTGATGATATTATTGTTACAATTATTTGAAATAATAATACTAATGTTAATTGATTATCAACACGTGCCGTACGTGTTAGAAATGTTGCAGGTATTGGATTAATACGTTGAGCACGATTTCGACGCGCATTTTTCAAAGTCAATAGTCCAAATATGCTCATGAATAACCATGGACATATTCCGTAGCCTAATAAATGAAAAACATATGTTGATACTGTCGACCAGACAAACGATGAACTGGCACATGTTCGTCGTGTTTGTATCGGTTGCATATAAATAATACTTGGAATTCCTGCTAACATCCATATAATTGTTGTTAATAAACAGACTCCTTGAGCTATATACACTGAATTAAAAGAACGCCATTTTATTTGACGACATGTAGAAAGAAATCGATCAATTGTTGCCCATACGATGCACGAAAGAGATATTGAAGATGCACAAAATGTTATATAATTTCGAATTTTACACCATGCTATATTGCTCCATGTCCAATCAAGTTGAAAACCTTCCGATAAGATTCGAATTAATAAACCAAATATTATTTGAATCAAACTTGCTAAAGCACTGATTAACATATATACACAACATGAACTTAAACGAAGAGAATAGTGACGAAATGTGAGCATATTCCATAGACATCCAATTAGACCGAAAATGAACATACTTATACCCAAATAAATATTTAGTTGTTGAGATATATAGTTTAAATTTGTGGTACTACTCATTGTTCATAATCTGAGAGATATAATGTTTGTATGAGAGTAATATATAGAATGACCTTAAGAAGTTAAGAAACTTGCGTGAGTGAAACTTCTTTCTCACCTTATTCATTATCATCTATTAGTGCAATTAAATGTCGTATCGGATGCTTAGAAGATTTTATACTGACTTACAATTTTCTTTTTCGTTCAAGAAGTCTTTTATTTTGAAGTCTAGTGTATCTTTTAAAACCTTCTAACTGCGTCCAGAATCATATACTCATAGTCTCAAACAGTTATGATATTGTATCTTAAAATAAATACGTATTTGAAATATTTCATAAAATTTATATAAATGCATGTGAGAAAAAATGAATAGATAATTAGAGCATGCAATCGTCTTTTCAATCATCTTTGACAAGCTTACTTATAACGTATAATGGACTGATAAGAAAAATGTCAACTTACCATGATTTACTCTTTAACATTACACCGAGGCTATTCGAGAAGAAAACATAGATCCTATTCTTTTCATATTATAATTCATTTGCGTTAGTATCGATTCCATACACGAGAATATATTCAAGAGTTTAAGTATTGGAACGAAAATAGTTGCAGCAGTCATATATATGGTATTTCTTTTTTCTCATGAAGATATGATATTGTTTTAGTGTAAGTAGTTTATGTCTCAATGTTACAGCTAATTTGGACGTCAAATTATCACTGAAGTTTTTTTGTCAATCAGCGACGGCGGAGTCACTGAGACCCATAAGGCTTGGACCTCACCCAGATTTCGCAAGATGAGGCTCAACTTCACTTGCTCTTGTACTGATTATTGCTACTTTTATTCTTGCATCAAAGTAGGAGCAAAGAAAAGTATATTTGGTATTTTCCCGTCTTCTTTTTTTATACTGGCCATTTTTATTTGTACTGACGTTCAATAAAAAGAAGGCTTACTTTCGGCTTGATGCTTTCATAAAATTCCACATTACAAAAAAAATATTGAGTCTAACCTAGTTTAATGACGCTCCGTCGCCCCTGGTGTCAATGGCTTACTGTTTAGTATTTACATCTCTGTATTGTGTAAATACCTAGCAGGGTTGCCACCTCATCAGGTCAGAAAAGCGAAAATTTTGATCAAAAAGAGCGGGAAAAAGCGGAAAATAACGGAAACAAAAATAGAAAAAACGGAAAGCTGCTTTTTGCTGACCTTTCACATTTCCAAGAGTTAAAGTAACCTTGTTTTATTGCTCATAGTACTACTTTGTTCGCAGTTCCACAACATAATAGACAACTCATAAAAAATATCAGGGCGTACCTGGCCTGAAACTCCAAGAAGAAAAGATAAACGATTTCCGGTCCAAAAATAAATATCTTTTTTCTGTCAATTCTTTTTCTACTCATCTTTTCTAAAAGTGCCATACAGGAAAAATGTTTGTATCGTCCCAAAAAATTTTCCTTTTGTGATAGTGAAATGGCCGTATTACGACTGTTAGTTCACTATTTTTCGCACAGAATATACCACCGAAGGCGGCTCTTTTTTGGCACAGCACTTTAAAAGTTTATGCGAAAAGATGCAATCGAAAAAACTGAAACTCATTTTTCAGAGTAATAGAACAAAAAATATATATTCCTTTCCACATATAGCCGCCGAATGCGATTCCTTTTTGGCACAAATTAAAACATTGGCCCGAAAAACGTACAATCCAAAAAATAAAGCTCGCTTTTTACAAGTCTAAGAGCATAATATTGTTCTTTACATTCAATTGTCGGATGTGGCTATGCTTTCATCTATTATTAACAAATGAATAAGAACTTGAAAGAAATTTTCTTTTCTTCACTGGCATTTCAAATCCAGATGAATGTATTTCATCGTGGAGGCCAAAATGAACACGAAATGTGTTTCACTAGTAAAATTTATTGAAAAATCTATCATGTGAAGCGAAAATTTTTCAATAATTGTATAGAATTATACGTTAGAAAATTATTTTCCAAAAATTTTCGTATTACATCACGTTACCTAGTTTCTTGCATGGTTAAGTTTTCAATTAAACAACGAAAGTATTTTATATGAAAAAGCGGAAAAAAGTGGAAGAGGTGGCAACCCTGATGCCTAGCATGAATCGAATAGTACAAGCATACTTATTCTAGTCATTAACTAGATATTTTTACGTGGTAATATAGTGTGCCATATTTAAGTTACGTCTCACCCTAAGATTTCAAAATCCATTTTTTTGTGAAAAATCTTAGCCTTTCCAACTGTTCAGTGGCGACCTCTGTCAAAAGACACTTATTGATTGGTTTTGGAAATTTACCCATTGTCGTCATATGTACATCAATAGAGTTGTCCTCAAATAATCAGCACGGTGTACGACGTCATTCATTCATTTTACGCTATGGATTATTAGAAAATTTTCAATTGATTTTTTCATTTAGTTCTTAGCAATGACATCGTCTCCATCTCCATTTTCTAATACCAGTAAATTTCAAGTGTTACCAACACCAGTAAGTCAATTAAGATAGAAAATTTACTTACCAACTACAATTTCTCATTCATTAGACAACATTATTATTTACTCAACCAGTTAATAATAATATAACTATAAATAATATTGGAAATGTAGCACAAAATATTCGACAGACAAACACTCAAAATGGAACCTATATTCATCATCAACAACAACAACAACAGCAGCAGCAGCAACAATCAATGTCTAGTGGAACAATAACAACACCTACAAATATTGTTCGTCTAAATCAAACATCATTAGCGCAAAATCAATTTGGATCTCAAACTATTTGGACAAATAATCCATCGCAGCCATCACAGAAAATTCAATATTCAATGCCTATTCAAAAAGGTGCGTTCATTTAAAATATAAAGCGAAACAAATTCTTTTATTTTCCAGAAATATCTTCTCCAGTTATTCAACAACAATCATCTATTTTACCAGCTAAACTAGTTACACAACCAGTTGTTCGTCAAACAGTAACAGCACAACAAGCACCGAAATTTACCGATGCGCAAATAAATGATTTTGTTGCAAAATGTCGAACATTTTTAACAACACTACTTAAGCTTGCTGAGAAACAAGCACCTGAAAAATTACCAATGGTTCGATCATGCATACAAGATCTTTTAGATGGAACTATTGATCCAGAATCATTTACGCAACGACTACATACACTTTATAAATCACAACCACATACATCACTCGTACCATTCTTTAAAGTAAATGAATAGATAATTCTAACGATTTATCTTATTGTTCAACGCTGTCGCTTCCAAGAAATGTCCTTAGCTAGTATTCATATTATTTAATGCAGTACAGCTAACTCGTTCACTAGTAGAACGTTTTGACGGAGAACAACTTCGAAATAGTTTCTAATATGTTGCCAGTACTTTAAATCCATACGTGTAGTGACTTTTCTCAAGCTAGAACCCTCTCCTTGTTTGCCTATTAGGAAACCAGCGACTGGCTGATCTTTATGTTTTTGTTGCCTAAGTTTAAAAGCGGATTAATTTAATAGAATCTTCGAAGCAATATATCTGATAACTGCAACTATTTTAAAGACAGTAGACAAATCAAATTCTACTTTAAAATTATGAAAAACAGTTCGAGTTTTTAGAAGGTAATCGCCTTTTGAGATTCTCTCCCTATCTTGTTAAAATTTAATCTGTTACTTAACAAGTCACGATCTAATTTTCTGTATCGATAGCAATATTTTTAGTTTCTATGAAACTTACGGATGCCTTCAAAGTTAAATCACAAAATATCGAAGTGTAAAAATAGCAGTAGTAAAACGTGATGTTAAAAATCTGGAATGAATATTTATCGAGATATCCAGTTTCCCAAATATTATCGTTGATAGTATTCTTGTATGCTCACATACTTAGATATTTAATTTATTTTTTTCTTTTAGTTAGCACTACCACATATGCGTCAAATGGTTAAAAATACATTTGGTCGACCGATAACAATTGAACTGTTGGAGAAATTAAATTTACCATCAAGCAAAAGTATTCCTACTGCAACAGCAGCGATAACGCCCACAACAACATCTCGTGTCGTTGTAAATCCATCTCTATTAACTCAACAATCGACATCAGGTATTCAACAACCATTATTATATACTACTGTACAGCCACAACAAAAAATTAATCTTTTACAACAAACTTCTCAATCGGGATTATTCAGTTCGACAGCATCATTACTCGGACAACAGCAACAACTTCAACAACAAGCTCGAGCACAGATTGTAAATTTGATTGCTTTGTTAATATGTTTTATAAATGAAAATTTTAGAATATAACTGGAATACGTCCAATTGTTGCATCTGTTTCTCCATCATCGAATACGAATCTTCTTTCCGGACAACAACAAATTCAACCCGTTTCACAAACAATCATTCAACCATCGGATTCAATTTTACAGAGAACTTTTTTATCCCCGTCAGCAACACACCCTCAACCACAAATTATAACTGTTAATCATCAATCAATTAGAACAGAAATTGTTACAAGCCAATCAACATCATTAATCAATACTACGTCTTTTCAACAGCCACAAACACAAATTCAGATCCAACCAAAAATTACAATCAAGTAAGCCATCAATTTATAAACATGAAATATGCGTAAGAATTTACTGGATATCTGATTATTTTATAGACATGATGACGAATCAACTGATGACATCCATGGCAATAATGGCTTATTAACAGCAGCAGCTGCTCCTGCTGATGATCGTCATACGCGTCATATTGCTCATGATTCTCGATTATTGCCTGCATCTATTCTACGTCGACATTTTGATCATCTAAGTAACAATTCAAACCCGAGTTTGGATCTGTAGCTTTTTGTTTTACATAAATTTTCTTTAGTTAAAAAAGATAAACGATCGGAAGGTGGCCATGTAACAATTCATGATGATTCTGTTCTTGCACTTATTTCTCATGCGACTGAAGAAAGACTTAAATATATAATCGAGCAAATAAAGTCTACTTCACAACTACGAGGCACCATTTCAACTCAGGTAAGAAAAATTATCAACAAAAAATGAACCACTTAATTGAACTGCTCTTTTTTGTTTATTAGAGTCAACAAGCGAACAATGATTCTGAAGATGTAAATAATATGTGATTTTTTAATATCATATTTATTATTTTCTTTAAATAGATAAATCAAAAGCAAGCAGAAACAATACACATTGATGGTTTAGTACACAAACGTAAATTTGAAGAAAATACCAAGCGCGATTCGAAAGTCACAGGACGAAATTCTTCTGCGTTAAATCTCAATAAAAAATTCGTATGTTGATTTATGCATAAATAAATAAAATTTATAGAAAAAAAATGTTTCATTTTTTAGAAATTAAAAAGACATCCATGCAGAGCCAATATTCGTGATTTAATAATAATAATGGAAAATGATAAACATCTACAACGATCATCACTTTTATTCAAAGCACTTGATAAATATTCTTAGAACATGAGATAATCTAACGTTTGTATTGTCTATTTCGTCTTCTGAGTCATGTCATTTACGTATTTCACATGGTTTTACATGTGAAATGCGTCGTTTAATATACTAAAATACACTTTATATCTTGTTTATGTACATGTGTCTATTTATTATATCTTTTCTGTAAATTTCTATCATTGGCACTGGATATTTTGTCCTATTTTTTTTTGTATGCGATCTCCTTATCTTTTTTTTACAGTGAAAACCAAGGATTATTACGCTTTGATAAACAGGAATGAACGAATTATTCATTTTTTTCTCTCTTTCGTCTTTACTTGTTAAAAGAGGTCTTCTGTAATTAAAATGCATTGATATATGTGATAATTATATTTGACTCTGAAGTTGTGATATTACTATTACAGAAATCATAATGAATTGGCATCTGTTAGATATGCTTGTGTCGGTAAAACGATTCATACCGTAAACTGATGTTTGATTATGATGAGAAACTATGTTCAACAGCATCCATGATATATATCGAAAAATAAGCGGAATCCATAGTTTGCAGAAATTTCAGATGATCGAGTGATGAATTGATTTAGGAAATGTTGTCATTTCATTGGGAACCAAGAGCAAATTTCAATCTCAAAGAAGAAAAGTCAATGAACATTTAATCCAATTCGTTTTCGTCAATCTGTTAATGTTCGTGATATTGTAATAATTTGTTATGGAATTTTAAATAACTTTTGTTTCAAAAAAAAATCTCACGTAGAAATGATTGACTAGATTAACTTCTTAGAAAAGATATCGATACCAACATTCGCATCGAACGGTGAAAAGCATTCTGATAAATAAACCAAGGGGATTATTGATCATTTACATCATGAAGGATCTATAGCAAAACTATATTACTGATAAAATAATTTTATTTTAATTTAAAAAAGTTTCAATCGTCACCGTTAAGGAAAATCATCTGTAAATTTTGCTTATCAAGTCGCATGAATACGTATCTTTTCTACAATATCAAACGAAATATATAATTATTTTCACATAATATTCTTATATTCCTTTGGAAGAATGTAGAGCTTATAAATGCTCTTTTTTTTAAACTTGATTTTTTTAGAAGTGAAGTTCAGTCTCTCAACAGCGTATACAAGAACGACACTTTAATTATAGAAGTAAACTATTCTGTAGTAAAAAGAGAGAGAAGGACTTGCCTAAATGTAGCATCTTCATATGCGCTCTTATACAAAAAAGAAAGAAAAGAAGTGGTTGCCTACAATGAAGCGCAGCCAAGAATTTTAAACTATATGATCAATAGAACGCTGACAGAAGAAAAATACAGTTCCTAATTGTGCTGAAAATAGCATAATCTTCCGAGTGTGCATGTCATCTATGCCAGATCAGATTAAAATTCATTCATGAATCCATTAACTTTCAATTCAATAGTTCAGACAAAACTGTTCGATTTATCATATTAGAAGCCTCCAACCAGCTGTAATTTTTACCACCACATTGCCTTACTTTTTTTTTATTATTAAACTAGGGATTTAAGTGGATCATCATACTCAAAGAGTTACACAAAGTAGCGATTATGCCGTGCGCCTCATCAATAAGGATTGATTTAAAAACAAAATAGTTTTATTATAATTTTCAACTTTACAATTATTTTTAAGCGGCACAAAAGCATGTCAAAAAGGAGCTCACAGAATATGTCTGTTTATCTTAGCGGCTTCTTTTGACGTTTGTTGTTTGTTTGTTTGTATCCTTCAAACATTATTCTATGGAGCATACATTTCTAGGTGGTTTAAGTTGTGCTTTACTGAAATTATTTTCTGTGGGTGGCGTAGACAATTTTGTTAATAACTATGATCTCAGTAAATTAATAAATAAAAGATTCTGTCAACTTGAATATTATGAAGACTCTCAAAAGGCAATCATTATTATTTTCTTCACGTTCAAAGAAAATTCATTTATGAACTACGAACAATATCACATATGTGCCTTACAAGTCGTTTTTTTCTATGGTATTAACATTTTTTGACATTCAATTTTCCAATTTTGCTTTTTGTTATCATTTTTTTTCAATCTAGATCATCTAATTGTTTAAGCTGATCTTAAAAACAAGCATATAGTGACGAAAAACATAACAATGTTACACATAAATTGTTGCTTTTTATTCGTTTCGTCTGTTGTTATTCTGATTATTTTACCACTCATCGGCTCAAATCCAGTTCAAGTACGAAATTCATTGATATCCAGATTCAAACGAACTAAATACAACCAAATGGTTACATCTTGCTACATTTATGATTATTCAACATGGTTACAACAAAGACATGAATTCATGATATGGCTCGAATTTGCTGCATTACTCCAATTACCGTTTCATAAAAATACGGAAATTCAACGGAAAATCAAACTATATAATCTTCAAGATGAATGTTTACGTATTATTGAACGTCTACCTTTGAACTTTGGTCCGGGATAAATGTAAAATTAAACTAAGAAAAAATAAAACGAACGCATGAAGTGTAGTTTCAAATACACAGACTCGATTAGATTTTTTTCTTGCTTAAGAAAATGCTACCGAGAGATATGCATCAGTTATATAGTAGTTGTTGCTTCTTCGTTTTAAATTAGTTGCATAACAAACTTTTTAATCGGGAAAAATGCTTTCTGTAAATTATTGTTATGAATTAGAAAAGCATCAATTTCACAATTAGTTTTATGAAAATGAATAGAAGTTGATCACCTTCAGGGGACACCCCCCCCCCTTCAGAATCGACGTGGAACTTTCCACCATAGTTTCGGGCTGAAACTTATAGCGATAGTTGGCCCTAATGAGAAACATTTATGATAAAAATTTCAGCCTTGTATTTCTTACCAAACTCGAGTTACGATGTGTTTTCTGGCTTCCACGAGAATCGAAATAACTCCATGGTCGTATTAGATATCGAGGTCGGAGTAGTTTTAAATTGAAGCTAGCCTCTATACGCAACTTTTCATCGGGCGGATTTTTGAAATTTGACTCTATTGATTTTTTATAAGGATTTTAATGTGCATGTCTAAAAAATGGTGCCAAAATAGGCGATAAATTGAGCTTTTCTCAGCCTAAGAACTTTATATCAAAAATCCGTCCGATGAAAAGTTAGTCCTAACTGAGATTTTTAAAAAGAAAAAAAATATTTGGGAAAGCCTGAGCCAAGCCTAAGCTATTTCAACTTTACTCCCAGAAAACTATGTTTCGAGAAAAACACAAAATAAGTTTTAGATATCGATTTTTTAATGAAAGACTTTACAACTGATTTTAAAACGAAATATTTTCAACATGTTTCATTAGATCTTGTTATAATTGGTTACAAGTGAAGTAAGGTATTACGCTTCTCTACAAGACAATTTATTTTACTTGAAATTTCAGATAAATTTTGAATAATCAAAAGTTTTCAATAATTTTGAGTAAATTAGATACAGAAGTTTACTAAACGTCACTCATACTCCTACGCTAACAAAAGCTTACAAAATTTTGTTGAGAGTGTGAGGGTGTGGGTGTTGAATCTCCTATACACCCACACCCATCAGATATTGAAGATAACAATTATTCACCAAAGCCTGACGTTGTTTTTACTTTGCAAACATTTATTGATTTGTTTCGGATTTAATTTTTTTCTGTCTTTTTTCTTTTCACCATTCATCATTTACTATTACCTCTAAAGCACATAAAGCTAGTAAAAACTAACATTACTGTATTTTTTCACTGACACTAATGCATCACTCTAAGCGATGTGGAAAAATAGATTTTCTCAAACAGCTGCGTTCCTGAACAAAATACGCTAAGTGTATCTGTTATACTGGTCAGAACTGTTTTAGAAATACGAACTTAAGCACCGTATGACGCATCAACCTCACGTCAATGGTGTTTGATTCGAATTAGTCGCATATAAATTGATGAACAGCGAAAAACCAAAAATTTTTACGAAATTTGAAAAATTCTTGAAAAACGTGATTATGGTGGATAATGTTTCTCCTGTAACTCCCTTAAAACTTAAGCCTTTTTCAAAAACCTATATATATATTCTGAAAGAGGAGAATACGGCGAATCTTTCTATGAAAAAAACTCGATTTCCAATTTTTTTTTCGAAAAATCGGGTTTTGCGACGCGGGTTCCCCCTTGAACTTCAGATCACACGAGTAGATGAATTAGTCGAAGTCTGGAAATGAATATATATGAACTAATCTTTTCGTTAAAAGCGAACTAGAAGTCTATGGCATGAGACTTCTTAGCGAACTAATTTTATGTTTCAAGTAAATTCATTTTAATTATGAACATTTACTTTGTATTCTTTGATCACGTCTTAGATAATATATGATGATTCATAGTTGTGGTATATAGATGTCACTATTTATCGCCCGATGATTTTTTGATTACCTCGTGGGCAGTGTGAAGTGCTTTTTTCTTCCTTTTATTATACACGGCTAGATATATGTAACGTGGCAGGCTAATTAAGAGGGTGTGCATTTTGAAAGTCTTTAAGAGACGTTTTTTCAACAAAATTCGATCACCGAAAAGATTATTACAAGACAATGATATTAAAACAAAGACAACAAATAAAATCAAGACTAAAATTAATCCACATCCGAAAATATAAATTTCATTATGAAAATCGCTTGAATCAAAGGCATTCAATAGATGTGTATAATTTTTGATTTTATTTTAAAAAATTCATATATATTTCTCTCGAATGAAAACATTTAAAAATAGAACATACTAGCATGTATGAGTGAAATTGCTCCTAAAACATAAGCAAGAATTGTATCAATAAGAAACATAAATGCTGAATAACCATTCATATCCATTCGGTCAAGTATTTGAATTAATGCTAATGTCATTGAAATACCAGCACCAAAAAATGTCAATGGTACAAGCATGTAACATTGAGTTCTACAATCAGCTGTTATTGCCATTAAAAATAATGATGAAAGTGTACTTGTTGATAAAAAAATAATACTAAATAAAGCGATCACTGTTATGGATCGATCTAATTCTTTTGTATCACAACAAACTGTATTTGAACATTGTTGAAATAAACCTGTTCGATTGGCTATTGAATTTTCATATTTAACATTCCAATTATTTGTTGAGACGGATAAGATAGTTGTACTCAAGATGCATACAGCTACGATAGAAATTATTAGATCGCCAGCAAGTTTTTGATTTGAAACCATGATCATATGTAAATAGAAGATGAGGAAATGATTACGATTGATTCTTTCCTTTCGCTTTGTCTGTTATAGATGTATTCGAAATTTGATATTCGAACTGTCTGTTATTGTTCACATCATTAGAGATGTGCGTTAAATAGTCATATTACATTGTTTACAATAATAAATTCATTTAAATAGAAGGTCGTTACTATCAAGTTAGAAAAAATGTAAATTAAAAACAACGAAATATTCCGAGAAAATCTTTTTGTCTAAGTCCTAAGACACTCAAATAAATCGTAATCTAATTTTACTTATCAGAGATGGGCAAGTCCAGTCAAAAACTGACTTGATGATTTTTTTGAATGGATTATGACTTGACTTGACTTGACTTGACTTGATTCAAGTCAGTGATGGGTCATGACTTGACTTGAAAATTTTCAGAATGACTTGACTTGACTTGCAACAAGTCGTACAGAGAAATTCAAGTCAAGTCAAAAATTATATGGATAGAGAACTTTTATTAATTGAATTTTTGAACTCTAATTTGAAATGTAGAAGAAGAATACAAATAATAAATCAAAGATGGGCAAGTCAAGTCAAAAAATGACTTCACCTGATGATTTTTTGAATGAATTATGACTCAAATTGACTTGACTTGAAAAAGTGCTCGACTTGACTTGACTTGAAAAAGTGCTCGACTTGACTTGGCTTGAAAAAGTGCTCGACTTGACTTGGCTTGAAAAATTGCTCGACTTGACTTGGCTTGACTTGAAAATATTTTGAACTACTCATGACTTGACTTGACTTGACTTGACTTGAGTCGAAAAAACGCTGACTTGCCCATCTCTGTTACTTATCACGTTCATTTTATTTTTACTTAATTTCGATTCAATCTGTTCTATGAGTATGAAAAATAACATAAACAAAAGGAAAAAACAACAGTAACAATGCACTATATATACACACACACATACACACGTACATTCAAAGAAAATATCTGCTAGTTATATTTCAATGTTTACTCGTATTTACTTTTAATCATCACATGATTATCAAAATCAAAATGAAAAACTTGAAACTAGGAATAACACAAGAGAAAATGATATGTTTTGTTTCATATTGAAACAAAGGTTACACATAGAAAAATATACAAAATAATATCAATAAAATAGGATATAAATGCATCAAATCAAGATATATTTCCAGATTGGTTCATGTTACGTTGAATATGTTCTTCGAAATCTTCGAGGGAACAATCAGTAGGAATTGACTAACAAAATAGAATGAAGAGAAAATTCAATATTATGAAAAATTGAAATTCAATCAAGGTACCATTCCAGAAAGATTAAGTAATTTAGTTGCTTCTTCTTGTAAACGCTGAGCTAATGTTCGCCAACGTACTTCATCAGCTTTATGTTGTTCAACAATCTAAATCAAATCAATTGATGGCATAAGACAAAGCGTTCTACGTATCAATTCCATCGAAGAAAACTGCTATTTTTTTTATCACAGCAAGATTACTCTACCTGCCATGGGACAAATATGCCTTCTAGCTAATGTCTTCAGAAATCCAATCAGGAATAAGGCGTTGGAAGAAGCTTTAGCAGTACATCGGTAAATTTCAGATTCTAGTAGCCGTATTTTGAGAATCTAGATGATTTTTTTAGTATGATGGTCTCTTTCTAGAATATCTTAGACCTTCCATGGATTGGGTGTTGTAAGCTCTTCAGAATTATGAAACTTACTTTTGTCATTTTTTCACGATACGAGTGCATAAAAACTGTCATATCAAGTTGGCTAAGATCGTCATTACTCATTGATGAAATCTGTTCTCGTGTCAATTCCCAATTAGGTGGTAACATAAACTAAACAAAAACAGAAATATTTTCGATACCGTTAACATCATAGAAATCTTACGTTAATTAAGGATTTAAATTTTTGCGCAATACTACATAGTGGCTCTTCTTCATTGGGAATTGTTTCAACTGATGTTATGGTAGGATCTATTGATGGTGGTGCAGTACCAATATAAGACCATGCTGATGATTTATAACTGAATGAATAATCGAATTCAGCCGTTGGAAATTCATCAAAACGCATTTTAAAAGTACCACATTTATCATTGACACTTAGAACTATACCAGAACGTCGGGCACCTTGATACATGGCCAATAAGTGTGCACCAATCGTCGGTGGCGGGCGACGGTTGTTTGTATCATCGATATTTTCAGTATTATCATCATCATCATCATCATCATCAATTAAATAAACTTCATTTGTTGATGCAGGCTAGAAAAGCATCAAGTTAACACCTCTAATGTACAGAACGTAGTTTAATATTGAATAAAAAGCGTTTTATTTCCGTATGAAATCTAAAATCTTCAATTATCATTACATGGCCGATAGGGACGCAAAAAAGTCATTTTTTCAGCTGTTTTTCTTCTTAAGCTCTGATGAGCATTAAGAGTACATAAGTAAGATCCGTTCAAAACTAAAATACTCTTATCTCAAGCTGATATGGGAAAGTTTACAACCGCGGCCTTCGTTCTGACTCAACCATTGAATCATCTGACATACAGCAAAACTCAAATGATAGATAAGCTCAAAAAAGTGAAAAGCAAACTAAAACAAACATCGTTAATACTCATTTTCATAGATACAATCGAAAAATCTTCATACAAACTGAATACGTAGACGAACGTAAGTCTTGCTTTTATATTTATATTTCTCCTAGCCACGAACGAATTGCCTACTGATTAAATATTATGTTTTGCATCGAGTTGATTTTTCTTACTCGAATAGATGTAGATGTTTGATGACGAGTTTGTTGTATAGCAGGTGCAAATGATTCGTTTTCATCTTGATCATCGCTCATTGCACCAATAGCGGTAGATTTCGATTTACTTGATTGTGTCTTAATAAGGCGTTTTCTTTTCTTTTTAGTTTTGGCTTTTGCCGATAATAAACGAGATGAAGGCAGAATACGATTCTGTAACTTGGCGGTTGATGTTGGTGCAACAGTTAATCGAGTAGCTATTTTTGAATTCTAAAATTTACTTTCAATATGCAAAACGAAAATAAACTTTAATATATCGATTCATTTACAATATTCGCTGTTGTTGATGAAATTTCAGCATTTGAGATACGTTTATTATTTATTGAAGACCGAGCTGGTGGTGAAACTGCTCGTGATCGAGTACGATTTTCATGATGGGTTCCTTGAGATTTCGGTTTCAATTCTCCTTCAGGTATAAGATCAAGTTTTTCATTGTCGATACATCTAAAAATATTTTTAGAGTTATAATTGCATGCGACGATGCCATTTAAAATCCATACGTATTATTAAGAATATCACTATTGTCGGAACATCGCCATGATTCAAGTTGACTTTGTGTTAAAGGTTGGACATTACCATGAAAGGGTAGACGACGCCATTTTAAACATTGATCACATTGAATAAGCATGGGAATCGCTACTTGGCGACGTTTAACTGGTTCAGGATCATTTGATGGCGGCCGATCAAGTTGATCGTCTCGATAACCTTAGATAAAAAAAAGATTTCTTACTCTAATTAATAGAGAAGATAAACAGCATATGTTCATGAAAGCGAATTCTTAATCAGGATTATTTGTTATAATATCGGACAAGGAGCTGCCAGTAAAGAACCTTCTCTGTAGGGTTTTTTCTGAATGTCTATGCAAGTAATTCTACTATTCTATCATTTCTTATGTGAACGAACTGAAAAAAATGTTTCCTTCCTATTCAAACAATTAAACAGATCATCTTACCATAAGTTTCCCAAAATTCTTGAACATAATGTTCGATTCCTGTATCAGTCCAATATTGTCGCATGTATTCACCCATATTTTTAAGTAGAAAATGATATTCTTTTTCATCAGCAAACGATTGTTTATTATGCGTAGTTTCCAATACTACGGAAGGAATATCAATAATGCCAACAACACCGCGACAGTATCTTTTAAATCAAAAATTAAGAGAGTTAATATCATTTTGCAAGTTACCTTCGATAAAATGAAAGACTTACAAAATTTTTTTATTTGGCTGTCCAACTTTTTCATACATTTTAATTAGTCGTCCACAATGATAAACAAAAACACCATCTGTTGATCGATTTTGTATATTCAATCCAAAGATAAACGTTAAAGTTTTCGTTGTATTCATTTCCATACGTTTTTTTACCAGTCCATTACATAATCGATTTGCAAGATCTTTTAATTCAGTTGCATTGATTTGTAATTTTCTTAGTCGCATTCGTTCATCAGCCGAAGTTGTTACACTAGTATGTTGTAGATGATGAACTTGTGAATCAACTTCACGTATACGCTCTTCTAACGATAAAAGCTCTTTTTCACATTTTTTTATTTCTTGTTCAGAACGTGTTTTAAAACGTGTAGATTTAAATTGATACTTTCGAGGTTTGTATAATGTATATGATAATTTTTTTGTTATAACACGTCTTCCTTGAATTGTTATACGCATACGTGGCTCGTAATAGAGAATGGAAACGTAGGCACGAAGTGAACGATATTCTACAGGAATACTAAAACAAAAAGACGTATAGTCTCCTCGAGAGTTTTCACTTGAAATGTTTCGTATAAATTATAATGAGATTTGAAAAAATGGAACTAAAATTCAATATTTACCTATCATCATCATCAGTCAATAAATTTCTTCGATTTCTTGAATCGATTAATATGTCATATGGATCGGTTTTTATATCAAGTTCTGGTTCGCCGATATCCGATAGTTTTAAATTATATAGAACAATCAATGTTCCACTAGACGATTTAATTAAATCGAATTGTTTAAATAGATCATTCATTGTTTTAAATGGTGAATATTTCATAATTAATTGCATTTCAAGTTCATGTTTACTACTATCATATGTATATGTAAGTGTACCATTTATTCGATCATCGTCAGTATTCTGAACTGGTTGTTGAGTAGTCAAATCAAAACAAGGCATCGGACATATTATTTGAGATATATGTTGTTCGTGATGAAACGTACGGGAAATAAATAAACATGTGCCAATATTATCTTTTTTTGTAAATAGTATAAAGTCCTTCGATATACGCATAGCACCGGACTTTAAACCATTGCCATATTGACCAATTTGATTCGGAACAAGACTATGGAGTTTGGCAGATTTTCCAAAAACAATTACATTGAAGACGTCGTCTAATGGAATGAAAACAAAAATTGGTCATATTTTGATGATACATGCATAGAGAAAGTTTTTCTTGTGTAAGCGAAGATACCCCGAAGATCGAAAGTCTGATCATATAAATACTCATTTAATGACGTATGACAAAACAATTTCCACAACATTCTATGTAACAGTATGTTGATATCTTTAATATCTTCTAAGATTAGTATTGTTTCGAAAAATAGAAAATTTTTGAAAAATGGATAATAAATTCAATCGATCTTAGAATTGATCAATACCAATATTGAACTGCTACGGCAAATTATCAGCGAAGGTCAATCGCTATTGTTTGTCAGGACCTACTTGAACTTTAATAAGATAATATTGTTTTCGATTCATCGGTTAGATAATGCAATGATTTATCTACTGTATGGGCAGGGTTGGTGGCGCCCACCCGAAAACATACAATTGATTTCATAAAAGTAACGGGTGGCCCATAAAAAATGGCGGTCTCATTATTTACTCAATATCATTTTTGCTCTTCATTGATTTGAACTGAACATTTTCCCAAAAGATTAAGCGTTCAATTTCCTACACTCTCATGTGTAAAAGATGTTTTTTAAACTACAAAACGACTAAGTACTAAAACGAAGAAAAAAGGTTAGAAAATCGTCAACGTTCAAACTCACAATACATTAACATTTGGAGTATGTTTTGACAATTTATGCGCAGGCTTAAATTATGGGAGAAACATTTTCTGGTGTTTTCAAGTACGCTCTTTCCGATATCGTTGAAAAAATTTCTTTAAAAGTGGTCTTCACCTATTAAATCGATATTTTTCGAAAACTCTTCCATAACGCCTTAATTTCGCTTTTCAAGAAAGTCTCCTGCAAACGAAACTTTGCATCAGTCGAACTAGCGTACAGGGGTGCAGTCGAATATGTTAGCTTTCAAAGAAAAAAATCGTCAAGAAATAACACTTTTTTAGTGAATGACATGCGTTTTCGTGCAAGCATCCAAAACATGAAATGACAGTTGAGTTTTTTAGAAAAATCGAAAAAATTGATGCAAAACTTTTTATTCATTTTTTGATGAAAAAATATTTCGAAGACATGAATCTTGTCCAGAATCTGATGCTCTTTAACATGGTAGATTCAGTTTTTTTTGTAGATCCTCACATGGAAAGTAGATTTTCAAAAAAAAACGGATTTGTGCTTGAAAGTTGAAGATTTTTGGACCCTTCTTCTTCGTTTTATAACATAGCCGTTGTGTAGTTTAAAAAAATCCTTTACACATGAGTTTGCAGAGAATTGAATGCTTAATCTTTTGGGAAAATGTTCAGTTCAAATCAATGAAAAGCAAAAAGATATTGAGTAAATAATGGGACCGCCATTCTTTATGGGCAACTAGTTACTATATGATAAGAAATTTTCTTGCCAGCAGTCCCTCCAAAAATTTCAGCCGCTCACCCGAAAAATGAAACCGAGATAAAACACTGAGGCAATGGCGAGACGATATATGAAATCTATGTTCATGAGAATTATTTCGAGTCTGTTATTATAGAAGTAATTTTATTTATTAGGTCCAATAGACATATACTATATAATTACATAAGAACAAAGGTCGACAACCTTTGCACATTGTGGTTTCTCAACATTAATCATATCTAAGATTAACTTTTGTTCATGAAATAATTATAGTGGCTAATATTAATAGTCAATACTGTTAATAAAAATATGCCTCTTGATTTTATTAGAAATCTTGGTCAATCCTAAGTATAAGAAAAAGGAAAAATTTTCTAATAAAAAAAACACATTTGTTCAGATCCATTTTGAACTATTGTCTTTCTCAGCTTCCAACAGATAATAACCCATAGAATATTGAAAGAAAACCAATTATCATAGATTCCATTACTACACAGTCATTCGTTGATTTCTATTCGACAAAACTTACCATAATGCATTCCACAACCATCATCCAAAAATGCCAGATAAAATCCTCCACGTAAGTATGGATCTTTGCATGTATAAATATCAAGATTTTTTGCATCTGCATCTTTTGAATTATCAACTAGTTCAGCTAATGCACCAAAAAGGAATGTATGTGTAGTTGAATTTGTATGCAAATATTCAAAGCTCAATTGAGCTTTATTTAAACAATCGTATTGATCTTTCATCTCATTATACTGATTATCAAAAAAAAAGAAAAAGAAGAAAATAATTAAAAGTGAAACATAATTGAATACTAAATGATTATACAAAAAATAACACAAATAAATATTTGACACATGAATATATGAAGTGAACACATAAAGCATTACTGCCTATTGTACGCAAATAAAAATGAAGAAGATGAGATTTTATTGTGAACTACCCAGATCAAATGCGTAAGCCGCTTTTTTATGCATAATTAATTGATTGTCGACAAAATAGAAACTATCTGATTTAGTTTCATTCGGATGCTCAATCATTTCCTTAACTACGAAAAAAATAAGGTTTAAAAAAACAAAAACCAACTAGAATAGTAGAGATTACTTTGTTTCGAATCAAATTTAGGCATATCATATATATGCTCAATGGAGTTTCTTGTATTTGGCGGGCAATATCCAAAGTCGAAATCAAAGGATTTAACCAGTTGATCACGAAAATAGTGACGTTCAATCATTCGAAAAGATTTTACTTCTCGATCGCCCACAGTAAATTCGACTCTAAATAAAATTAATAACAGCATAGATGAAATCTCGAATGGTACGTAGATTTTATTCGGATTCGAAGGGCGCTCTAGCAAACTTGGAAACCAATAGCATATCTATTCGACTTGTACTAAGGATGTGAAATTTTCGGAAAATCACAAACTCAGAGTTTACATCGAAAAATTTGCCTATAAACATATTTAATTGAATCAACAAATATGTCCTTTCTGAAATCTTTCATTTATTAAAAACAATGGTTTCCATAGGAGTTAACGATTAATGAATCTACTGCGAAGTTTCATAGTCTGCACGCAACTCGTTCGCTTACGATGTTATTCTCAGAAGAAGAAAAAGGAAAAAAAACTCATTAAAACAAACAATCACCAAGTCATGAATGCAGATTCTTCTTTGAAGTATAGCTATACTGCGAAATCAATTGATGTCTCGAAACTTCAACAATGATTCTATGATAAATATTAAAGTTTCTCTTCTAATTGTGAATAGTTTCTAATCATACTTACGAAGCACCGACTTGTTCTAGTTTTAAGAATGACGATGGAAAATTATATTGAACAAAGCGACCAGCCGATGAATCAACTTCATCATTGAATTCATCGTCATCTATTTATTCAAAATAAAAACATAGCAAAACCATTCTAAAAGAAAACACTAATTTCATCATACCAGAGTCTCGTTCAACTTCAAAAAGAATCTTGTTCGTGTTCATATCACGAATTCGAAAATGGACAAAATTAATTTTATAAGCATTTTCATCTGTTTCTGTTAGATAGCCTAGGAAAAAACAAAACAAATGTCTTCTTGTATTTTTCATCTACTTATTTAGATTTTACTATTCGTAGATTTTCGTAATCGAAGAACGTCACTAACTGTTATTGGTGGTTCTTTCTTTTTCAATTCTTCTTCTGTAAGAGGAGATTCATTTGAGTTGCCACTCATTGTTGTATTATTAGTCGATGATTTTTTTGAATTTGCTTTTGACGATATCAGAGTCGAAGCCATGAGAAGAAGTTTTCTATATAAACAAAAAAAAGTCAAATCTAAACGCTTTTTTTTAACCAGGATAATGGATTATAAGTTTTATTGTTTTTTTTTCAAAAGAGCTGTACAATATGGTCTGTGCAAAGGAAGTCAATACACCACAATAACAACAAAAACAAAACCAAACAAGAGAAGAACACGATTTCCTTAACATTCGCATACAATCAAAAATCTATCAACTTAATTTTTTTCTTTTCCTTCTCACCAATAATCTAAGAAAAGAGAGCAAAGCAACGGAAATAAACAACGTAATAAGTTGTGTTTTTTTCAGAAAGATAAATGAACAAACAAGAAAAAAAACGAACAGTTAATCGCAGCAACACATTTAATAATAAATATGTGAGCCTGCGTACCAAAGAAATTACGCAACAAAACGGATAAAAATAGAAAAGACACAAAAAAAAGGAAGAAGACAAGTTTTCTTTCTTTTGTTCAATGGCCAACTAATGATTCCTTTGCTGCCGTTAAAATTCGCACCGGCCTAGAAAAGAAAAGGAGATCGAACTGCCAGTTTTTAATATGAGAACTAAATTGCACAGGTTCATCAGTATTGTCAACGAAGAAGAAAAAAAAAATAAAAAAATATTTTCTCTCAGAGTTATTATTCAAGCATAAATAAGGGGTACTTTTAGGCAAACTGTGAATCTATTTTTATCACTAAAATTAATAATTGATAGAAAATATTCTTGTTTATAAAATACGTATTCAAATGAAGTAATACATTCATTGAAGAATATTGACTTTTTTCAATATTGATAATAATACACAGGTTTCAAATTCAAATATTTTATTTTATTTTTATATTAGAAATAGAACCATGTTGCATATTTTTGATCAGTGATTATGTGTTGATACTTTCACTTGGATTCATGAGAAAATGATTTGAGGTAGAATCTCGTCAGACTGATTAAAAATAATGTCTAATTAAGGATTTTTACGTGGAGGTCAATTATAAGTGCTCTTATCAATATTATTTTCTTTTTGTCGATTACACTGTTTCTTTTTTATTTGTGTTAGTTGCAATCTAGCATCAGCTCCCACACCCAATACGAGTATCACAAGATCACCAAACTTATGAAGAACGAGACTGATTTAAAGATTATTGATAAGAAACTTCGTAGATATCAATAACTACTGAATAAGATTTCATTTCAAAGACTTACTAATCCTAAGTCACTTACGAGAGTACGGAGAAGCATTTTCTCCTGAATAAAGGATGAATCCTATTGCATTTTTCACCAGTGTCAGGTTAAAAAAAAGACATTTTCTTATTTCAAACTAAATTTTTCACATGATATTATTCACATTAGCGTGGATGAGCAACTTTTAGAATATCAAACTCAAATTTTCTTTGCAATCGATATTTCTATTCGTATGATAAGCTAATGACGTTGTTGTGTACAAGTCTTAGAAAAATCTCACGATTTATGTTTTTTAAATGTATCGTCTACGAGAGATATAAGCAAGATAATGGTTTCTCCGTTAGGAGACTTGTAATTATTTCATGATCATATGAAGCTGTTCGTGCCAAACATTATATTGTTTTTTTCTAAAATTTTATCCCCAAACGATTGCATACCCCAGAGCATGAGTATTACAGACAGCATCATGCAATGTATATTTAATATTAATTTTGCCTAGTGAAAAAAATCTATTGAAATCTTTTAATTTAAATATACGCTTAGGAAATATGAATATTTTCAATGTTCGACAGTATTGACTTACTTGGCGACAACATCAACTGATCCATTTGATGTAGTCGATTGGGTTCGAGGTATATGTTGTTCTTTTTCAACGACTTCCTCAATATGTTTGTTTAATTCAGCTACTTTTGGATCACGTTCATCACGCGGTTTACCTTTACATACAAATTAAATGAAAAGAAAAGAAAATAATTGTTGTGCTTACCACAACCAAAAATATTTGAATTTCGTCCTGCGGGTTCCGACGTTGGAGCTTCATCGGTTGACGATGAGGCTTTTTGTGAACGTGGTAACAATTGCAAACGTGGTCGATTTTCTATATGAAATAATATACGTAGAATAAAATAAAACTATAGAAACAACTTTACCAGATGATGCTGAATTATTATTAATATCATTTGAACTTTCACTAGTTCCTGTTTTCGTACGTTCGCTATTATCATTTTGAGTTCGACTAGTATTTGATCTATTAGAATTTAATCTTTGTCGCGACTCAGATGATGGTGGATTTCGATTATTATTATCATAATTAGTATTATTATTATTCGTACGATATGATGAGCCCATATGACTTTGTGAAGGTCCTTGTTGTTGATGGCGATACGATTGTTGTTGATGTTGGTTCATGTATTGAGCTGGATTTTGTTCATAATAATTACGCCCACCAGTCATTTGTGGCGGTCCTCCACGACGATCATTAACATTATTACGACCACGACCATATTGATTATTCATAGGGCGTGATGCTGTTTGCTGATTCATACGAGTCTTTGGATTTTTATTACGAACGACCTAAAATAAGATTTTCTTGGGTTAACTTTCAATGTAAAAATTTATTTTTCTTCGTACTTGAAAATCATCACCACTAAATGTATTATCAGCACTTGGTGGTGGTGATGATGGTTGTTCAGTAGTTGTCTCATCGATTGGACAATCGGCCCAATTACGACTTGTTTGTCGAGTTATTGATGTATTTTGATCATTTGGTGTTTGATCAGTAACATCTTCACTCGATGCTGGTGTGTCCAGTGCAATAAAAACATCATCATTAGATGCTTTTTGTTGATAACGTTCATGATTTTTATCGGAATTTGATGAATGATAGTTTCGTCCACCATACGATTCTAAATGAAAAGTAAAAAAATAGTAGAAGAAGATAATAGTGATCACTTACCATCTTGATTATGACCATCGGCGGTGTGTTGAAAATTTTCTCCTTGATTATAATTACGACGGCCACCTGGACGAAATCTATCATTAGATCGATTGTCATTGTTATTTCCGGATTGAACACGACGATTATCGTGAGATTCAAAACCAGCTAGAATAAAAAAGAATGAAGCATTCCGTATCGAAATTCGAAATAATCGATAGTAAAAATCCTAACGCATATTTTTCATAAGCTGAAGTTGTTTTTCTCCTATTCCATACAGTATTGAGAACATTCTAAAAACGTTTGATTCAATATTAGGTTCATTTTTACTTCGCTTTAGAGTTCGAAATTATATTTAGTTTCTTTCTTTTCACAAAAAAAGATATGCAACGTAGCTCTACCATTTGTCTAGAATTTAGTTTTTTCAAAGTCTTTCTTGAGCGTGAAGATATGTTGTTGCATATGAAAATGAATCACTTTTTTTTTATTTCGATTTTACTTTAACAGAAATATAATTTTTTTCTTGAAATTCATCAAGAAGCTTAAATCATCACAAGATTGAATGTGAATAATCATCTGAAACCTATTCAAAACTGTGCAATAGAGCAAAGCAGAGTTTTAAATTGGATTTTTTAGGAAGCTCTTCAAAATAAATGCCTAAAGACGAAAAAAAATAATCTGACAAATATTTCTAATAAGATCTCATCGAATTTTAACTGTTACAAAGCGCATGTCAATAGTAATGTTATATTTACGTTTATTACGAAACCCTTCGTTTTTTGCTCCACCTAATGGTCGAACAGCGACATCAATTCGAATCGGACGATCGTTAATGAACTAGAATAGATATTAAGTGAGTTCTTTTTTTTCAAATATCTAATCTTATTAACATACAGTTCCATCTAGATCAATAGCACGACGTAATGATTCTTCATCTTCGAAGTCGACATAAGCAAAACCTGTGAATAAAATCGAAATAATTAAATATTTCATGAATAATAAATGAAACTACCTCGAAATCGATCTGTTTGCCGATCTCGAACTAATCGAACTTGTTTAACTTTCATTCCAGTAAATAAGTGCTTTTCAAAATCACCTTGTACCATTGAATCAGGTGCATTACCAATATAAGCGGTATATGGAGGTTCCGTTGGTATTACATGATTACGTGGCGCACCACCACCACCACCACCACCACCACCTCGGCCATTAGCATATCTATAATATCGATATTTGATTGGAATCCAAGTATTTTCATTACATCTGTACCCTCTATCAGTTAATTATTGACTCATTCCTAGAAGCTGTCTACTCGAAATAATAAAGTACTCAATTCAAGTGACTCCTTCTTGGTCTATAAAGTTTGGAATAAAATTTAAAAATTCAGCACGCTGAATATTTTGAATTTTATATGCGAAGTTGTTTTACTAGAGGTCTACTCTTATTTTGCAGAAGAGTTTTAACTAATACTTAATTACATTTGCCAAAGAAATACTTTTCTTTTTGATATAGTTTTTATATAATCATCATGAGTAACACGAATAAGACCATCTCTACTATTAATTTATTTTTCATGTAAATTCATAGATAATAATGAAGAACAGATGTCATTGTTGATAGTCTGTTCGAATCTCGGACCATTATTATCTAACTGAAATATATTACAAAAATCTAATCTAACAAACGTACAGTATCTCAAACAGAAAGACAAACAAAAAAAAGCTTGAGATATTCTTTCCTTGATGAATCATTTTCGATTTTAATGATAAAAGACTTTTATTTAAATGTAACCTTAGTCATACCATAATCAGTGCCTGGATGAACTATTTCTACAATGATATTCACGCTATTTTATTTCTGTCAGCAGATAAAAGGCCAAATATATCATTAGTGTTGAAATTTACATACCCATAATTGCCATATTGACTACGTTTTGAATCTCTGCCCGGCATAGTCTATGTAAAGACCCAAACGACAAATGGTCGGGTCAAAATTAAATCTAAATTCAAAGTGTTCTAAAAAAACAAATAAACGAAAAGATGATGATGAAATGGTCATTTTAAAGTTCTTTTGTATTTGTTTGTTTGCTTCATATTCACGTTGAGAAAAAAAAACAGACGAAAACTTAAACAGTCCAACAGACGAGAACGACGAAAAAACTCTGGATTTACATAGAAAAAAAAACAGAAAATCAAACGAATGATAACGAGCTGTTTTATATGAGACGAAGAGTAATGCAAACTTAACGTAAAAAAAAAAGAAGCGGGTCAACAGTAATAAACGACAATATTAACGCTTAGAAAAAAGGCTGTGCCCATTATAAGAGTAGAGATCAAATCACAGTTACAAGTTAGAGACAGACACACGCACACGTTAGTAATAATAGCAGCGATAGTAAAAGACAAAAAAAGAAATTTTTTGTAGCTGGTTTATCCTATTGATACGGACGCTGTGGACCTTGTTGATTATTATAAGCATTGCCAGTTGTGCGTTGTTGGTGTTGTTGTTTATTAATATTTTGTTGTTGACCAGCAGATTGTGTTTGAACATGTTGAGGTTGGTTAGTTGTTGTATACATATATTGTCCTTCTTTATTTGATGACGATGAAGTACGACTATAATAACTATCATTACCACCCATACCTGCTGACGAGTTATTTTGATTATATGGTTGTCCTTGTTGTTTTGGAGCTTGTTGGTGTTGAGGTATAGCTGTCGGTGCTTGAGCATACATTATTGCAGGACCTACGAATAAAATTCAAGTAAATCAAGATGTATTTCCATTATCGATTGTAGGTTGTAGAAAAATTGATCAATGAAGATTTTAGAACAGGGAGGTAACATGGGAAATCGTTCGAATCAAGTATGATTTTAATCAAATGTATAGACTATCAAAGAAGAATTCGTAGATTGAAAAACAAACGATTATTCTCTCAGCTATGAGATGTGGAAATAGAAAAAAAATGTTATGTTGAAGTTTTTAAATTTACCCGCCGAATAACCTGGTCCATTAGGTGCATGACTAAGAAAATAACTTAATGGTGCTGGCGAATGTGTAGCTGTTTGTTGACCTTGTTGTTGACTGTTCGATTGTTGAAGAGTATATTGGTGATATTGTTTTACTAGCATAAGACCATCTGTTATTGGTGGTGGATAGCTATGAAACGAAAAGAATGAATTTGAAAATTTTAATCTTATCGTATCTTGTTTTACTTCAGTGTTTTATTATCATTTTTATTATTTGTTTGTTGTTGAACAGGTGGTGTGACAGATCCATAGGTACCCGATGGCGATTGTGCTTGTTGTGTATTATTTAATGGCATATAATTATTTGCAAATAGATGTTCAGTATCATAAGGTGTTGAATAAGTTGCTCCCGCTGTTTGTTGTTGAACATTGTACGCTGTTGAATAAGTTGCTGGGTTTAATTGTGGTGCTGTGGGAAACATACCTGGCGGAATAGCTGGTGCTTTGTTAGCGGTCGTTGCTGATGTTGTTGTAGATACAGATGATGTCTGTGGATTTTTTGATGATGCTTGCTGTGGAAGTGAAGGTTGTTGAGACACTAAATAGCGTGGTTGCGTTTGTTGTTGTGCTGATTGTTGTTGATTCATTTGTGCCGCCATAAAATATTGTGAATTAAAATCGATCGATGGCAATGAAAAAGTCGTTGGATCATATGTGGTATCTAATGTTATTGGCTGAAATAGAAAAAAATAGATATTAAAAAACGAATCTATTTGACTGTTTATTTAAAATTTTACATCTGGTTGATGTTGTTGTTGTTGATAAAGTAACGACTGTAAAAGTATATTTGGTGCAGTGATTGGATGTTGTTGTTGATGTAAAGTATATTGAGGTGTAACAACTTGTTTCATGGACATCGTTGGCTGTTGTTGAATTTGTGTTTGTAGTATCCTCTGTTGTTGTTGTTGTTGTTGGTTCATCACCGGTTGTTCAGATGGACGAGATGATGGTGAAACATGCGAAGACTGTTCGGTTGTTCGTTGAGAAATTTTGTTCGATGATATTGATTGTGATTGTTGATAGAATGCAGATGCTGATGATGTGTCTTCTGATGATTCACCAATATTACCAAATTGTACATCAATTTTATTGACCCCACCATCGAAGTGATCCGAAAAAACTACGGGTTGTTGAGGAATTCGAGGTGGTGGGGTTAATTTAGTATTCATTAACGAAGCAATTGTTTTAGATTTTTGTAATTGATCAGATTCTACTGGTTTAGGTGTTTGTCCAATACCAATAACATTTTTAATCTGACGCGCTGCTTCTATTGGATCAAAATCTGGTTTCAATTTTTCTTGATTATTTCTATTTAGTTGACTACTTGGTACTATTTAAAAAAATGATAAATATTGAATAATAATAATAATAGTAGCAGCAACAGATAAGGGAAAAAAATAATAAAAAACTACCTTCAGATGATTCGTTTGAATTCAATGGTTGTTCATCATCTACAGCTGTTCTTGAAATAATCATTGTTCGACCATCCCAATGATCAACTTCCCATGGATATTGTTGCTGTTGATGATTAGAAGCAACAGCAGCAGCACCTCCTCCTCTAGTACGCCGATTTGTATCTGACGGTGATAAAATATCATTATTTGAATCTTGTACATGTTGATGATTTCTATTCATGCCACGATGCCCACCTCGATTGCTACCACGATAACGACCTCGATATGTACTACCACCTCGTTGTCTTTGTTGTAAAATAGGATTATCATTTTGCTGTTGTTTTTCATTAGTACCATGTGGAGAATCGCCTTCGTTGTGTGGTATTCTTGTTCGACCACCACGAGATTTACCTCGAGAACTCAAACCATCTATTAGAAAGGAAAATATATATTTAATTTTAACCAACGAGGAATCATTGAAATTTTTATTTGGTTACCATTCCCTCGTTGTTGTCCATTCTCATCCAATTCTCCATGTCCATTTTTTGTTGCAGCAACTTTTTGTTGTTGCTTCTTAGTTAGTTTATGATTTGTTGCAGTACGCCATTCGCTGGCCACTTCGTGACCTTTCTCAATGAGTAATGCAACGGTTTTTTCATAATCATAATCACAATCAAAAAGTGCTACAAGGGCATCTTCTTCTTTAGAATTTACGACAACATCAAGCACTTTTCGAAGTATTTCTTTTACTTCAGGATGATCATGCTTTTTATCTTCAATTAATTGAGCAAGACGAATTTGTTCCTGAGTTGGACGGTGCTGCTGCTGCGTGCTCACGGCACCACTGGCCGCCGCGACGCTCATTCTTCTATATTGACAGAGGGTTAAAGACACAAAGATGGAAAACTTTCTTTTCTAGAACGAATCAAGAAAATAGAACAATTTTTAAATGGAAAAGAAATATGACAATCACTACACTTCCCTTTTTCTTCTTTCTAATTAGTATAGATACAACTCCATAGTTTATCAATTCATCGCCATTTATATTTCACCTAGACTTCCACGCTTATCATTAAAGTTATGTAAATAAACTGATTTTGATTTCTTATGAAATTTATTTATTTGAAAAGGTTTATAATGCGAAAAGTTTCTTATCTAACTTCCAAAAACCATATATCAATTTTAATGCATAATTGCTTTCCATCTCAGTAGATGTCGGTAGTATCAATAAACTGAAGTTCGTTTTATACGATGAATGATGAGATGAGAAAGTTCATGTTATCATTTGAGCGTGCATTCACACGTCGTTTTGATATTGTTTTAGGAAACATTATTCAGAATTTCTTCATTAAAGTACAATGCATACTTGTCACTCATCACATGATTTATATTAATTATATACGGAAACAATAGTGGATATGTTTCATTACAGGCAATCGCAGACATTTGGATATTAAAAGAAAAAGATTTTTTGATCGTACAAAGTATTTACTCCAGTAACCTATGATAACATGCGAGGAGAAATTAAACATTGCCATGATGTTTGCAAAAATCATCTACGCTTCTTTGCTCAGGTCGATGATTCCGGACTCCTGAATCAACCCGAAACGGCGTAATTTTCCAATACTTCCGATGATTTCCAAGGATATTCCCATCGTAAACGTACCGGAAAACTATCCGGAAGGTGGAAGCAGTATTCCGTTTGGAAATCGCCGTATTGTAACCGGAGTATTCCCGCGACCGTAACCACTGGGAAAAATTCCCAGAATCAACCCGTGATCACTAGAAATACAAACGGAACACGCGACGTACCTAACGAAATCTGACCGATTCCAGCTGAGAAAATCCCGAAAGTTTCAATCTTCCTGAGATCTTGCGCAGTTTTTCCGACAATGCCACACCTCCTCATCCTGGATAGCCGCACCCCCAACAAAGTAAATTACCAACCAGCTTCCCTAATGCCAATAACCTCACGCACTGCTCCACAATCATTCACTATACCATAGCAGACGCGAAGAGATTCCAAGCTCACTACTATAAACTTCAGGTATTTCGAAGCCTCTTGCCTGACAATCAATTACGACTCACGCTTAAATGTCCTTCAGATTCACTACCTTCCATGTGAGGCATTCGAAAGCAACACTCATTCACTTTTATCAAAAAGGATCCTTAAATATCCTTTTAAGTCAATGCGCTTATTTGAGGTATTTCGGGGACTCCTTCCTCAAAATAGATTGGGAAGGACAGTTTAAGATCTTTCTGACGTCATTACCTTCTATTTGATCTCTTTTAAAGTGCCACTTATTGCATTCTGTCTAGTAGGATTCTAAAAATGCTCTGCAGTCAATACCTCGTACGTGACGTATTTTGTAGTCTGCTTGATATTTTTGCGAAATAGAAGGATCCTCAACGGGGGTTTCTTGGTAACAAGGGAGAAATGAGACGTCGAAATGCCTGAAATAAGTGTTATTAAACAAAAAGGATCCTCAAGGATTCTTTTAGATGAAATAGAATGAATCGGACTTTCAAATATCTGAAGTTGAAGTGGTAGATGATCGAATACCTGCTAGAATCTTTCTGAGTGAAATGCAATAAAGGAGGTTGAGAAAAAACTCAAATAAATGGTATTCACCAGAAAGATGTTTCATGATCTTTATAGATAAAAGTCAGTGGAGTGGGCTTTGAAATATCTCAAAAGGAAGATATTGAGTTAGAAGTTTTTTTTTTCAGATGTTTCGATTTCAAACGGCGTGAATGAGATCGTTGAATACCTGTATTAAGAGTTGTTATGTGAGAAAGAGCTTTGAATGACTCTATCGGTGACGTGTTAATAATTATGCTTCGCAATTCGTGGTAGGAGTGCATTTGATATGTATAGAAAATTGAAGTAGATAAATTGGAACTAATATTCTGCTGCTGAATAAATAATGGTGAATAAAAATTAGGGTGGAGCAGTTGCAAAGCTCGGCTGTTGAATCGTGTGACATATATGTAGTCTTTAGCATAAAATACAATGGTGAATTGGTAGTCGGCACAAAGAATCAGTTGAATTTATCTGAGTCGCATTGTCTTTAACGGATTTACATCACTTAAGCATGAAATAGTTGTGTTCGACAAGATTTTGCTTAGTTGTTACCCTAAGAGATCTTTTTTCTCTTAGTGAGTAAGACTTTGAAATACCCTAATTATCGTTTAATTAGCCAGAAAGAACGCTGAAGATCATGTAGCGAGAGTGGTAGCTGGTGAAAAGATTAGTGGGAATCATTTTGATGAAAATCTGCATGAAAATATATAAGTTTTCTATCTTTAAGTTGAATTTCTTATATAGAGATATTTCTGCAAAACAAAACGGCGAATGGATAGCGTGCACATGGAACTGGACCATTTTTTGCGAAAAATTCTAATTGTGAGTCTTTTTCATACTCGAACCACCAGCATTATAACTTGCGACAAATAGATACAATATTTTATAATTTATTGTGTATTGTTCACGATTTTTCACCTGAAATCCATTGAGAAAGACTTCGAATTGTCTCAAGTAGAAAGTATAAGAGGAGAAGACATACAAAATATGTTTACTTTTACGAACGTTTTTTTCTAGCAAGTGTTACTAGAGAATTGAGGACAACGTTTTAAAATGGTTCTTTTGTCAGTGTGCTCATATGATGAACTGCTACGTGAGCATATAATTAATTGAAACACACAACGATTATTCGATCAAAGACCCATCATCAATGTTTCTTAGAAGGGCGGTAAAGTACTTCTGTCTTCCGGTGTTGATGTATGTGACCGTTTCTATTTTTCGATTTTGAATTAGTTAGGAGGATATATTAGTGCGTAGCAATAAATGTACGATTCTTTTTTATTTATGAAAGTATGTAGATAAACACTCAAGTTAAATACCCATAGCCGTCTATATTCTTAATTATGAAGTGGGTTAAGATTTTTTACTTTACTTTTAGTTATGAATTGGGAAAGACATTTGTCTAGAGCAGTACGTCTAATAAAACTATTTTATTTTTTTCAAAGACGAGTCTCATGTCCTAATAAGCGAGCTGTATATATGAGTGTAGCAGTCCGCATTCAACGAATGCTAAATAGTTAAACGGCAATTTAAAATGATGAGGAACAAAGCCGATTTTCGTTTATCTTGCTTAGGTGTTAGGAGAATGTTTTTATAGACTCTGAGCGAGACACACATAGAATACTTTGAGTATGGAGTCTTTTGTCATATTTATTTCCCTATGACTGAGTCTATTCTGAATGTGGGCGTGGAATACATATATAGTATCAGATCAATTCGACCGATTTGACTGTTTTCCATCGTTCTTGAAATATCTCAAAAGATCTTTCTTTGAAATAGATTTGAAAGATGTTTAAAATTCTCACATATAACTCACAAATCAGGTGTGTAAAGTACTTTCAATTTTATTAGCAATGATCTACCATAGTGACAATGAACTGAACACATAGCTACTGCTGATTGAACTTTTATTGTGATTTTAGTTAATTTTCGATCCATATTACTGCTAAAAGTGTTACGATTAGAATGAACTGGCTATGTTAATGTGTGCTGTTCTATTTATAGGACCAATGTCATCTATTTCTGAATAGTTCATGTTATGTAATCTTATTAGCCTAGCTGTTTTTGATACTTTCTGTTAATGAAAGGTAGAAATATCACGATATATAAAGAAATCATAAAAAGTCTTGAAAAATGATACAAAAATTTTACGCAATTCTGAAAATTCTTTCGAATACTGGTGAAAGTTCTTGAAAGTCTTCATTGTCACTGCAAAGACGTCTGGAGAGCTTCGAATTCATTATACCCTTCAGAGACTTTCTGAGTGATAATTCACTTTCGGTAACATATTGCTTGAATATATAGAAAAAAATATGTCAGTCAAGATATAGTGGGTCACATACAGTGTAATTTGCATAGCTCTTTAATGTGTATCAGCACCACATGTGCACAGATGAGAACCAGAAGGGAACACAAAATATCTGTATTTCCGAATTTGTGTTTCGAAAAATTTCTAATGCTTCCCAATATTTTTCAATGTATATCGAAATTCTTAGAAAGCCATAGAAATGTTGTATAATGATGCTTTGATGGATCATAGAAAATGACACACCAGTTTATCATTTATTGATATCTACTGTCAGATCATCTTAAAATGGAAGTGGAACTATATGTGTTTGTTCTTCTCGAAATAAAATGAAATTCATATGTATCTGACAGACATTTTGCATTGAGTAGAGTATGAGGAGTAGAAAAGATCACGATTAATTTTAATCAATTACAAATCGATTACATTGTTAATATTATTTTCTTTTGGAATTCGAAGTCTATTAAAGATTATATCACATCAGTCGATTTTCTATTTGCAAAAGATAGATTAAAACCAATTAAAATCGTAAAGTACCTAAAAAACCTATCGTCATACGATCTGAATGTCTTATCAGTTCGTTCCATTTTAATTGACCACACTTCAATGAGTATTTTGTTTTCTTTCAAAAGTTAAAAATATTAGACAAAAATCCCACCAAAGTTGTTGAGTATTCGAGCAATATTCAAATGAAATTGTTTGTAGTGTTTAGCGACTTCATTAAAAAATAACTGAACCACACAAACTGTATCAATCAGTAACTCTAGTGTACTTGAATCATAATGGACTCATTATTGACATAAAATTGATTACAAACGATTCAGATCAACGCAGGTTGGTTACGAGCGTCAACATTAACACACAAAAGAATTCTTTACACTTGATGCTTATTGTAAAATTTATGCATAGGTTATTGTAACGATAAATATGCGACTCTGTTTGGATAGATATATTAATGACAAATTGGATAGAGGTGGAGTAGTTTACCGCCACTCTCGGCAATGATATTCATTCGCTTCTTCACATATCCAAAGTGTAAGAACTTCATACATAACACACGTATATGTCGGAGAGAGATACGAGAGAGAGATATTAGAACACTGTAGAGAGAACAGAAAGTGAAGGAAGGAGAATCATCGAAGCGTGCCACTCACATTGACACAATAGGTAGGTACTTTGAAGAAGCTTTTCGGATGCGAAATATCAACAACGAAACTAAACAATTGAATTTTTAAATATTTCTTCACGGCTGGTCAATCATGGTGTTACATATCTTTGCTCGTGAAATAAGAAAAAAAACGAAATTAATTTAAATACCTCTAATCATACGTCTTTTGTTTTCTTCTTTTCCTCTTGTCTAAGCAAAATATTTTCTCTTAAGACTGTGAAGAATGATAAGGGTGTGCGTGAAGGTGTTCATGTGCATTAACTTAAATGTTGATGTCAATAGATGCTCAATTGAAGTTAAATACTGATATCATTAATATGCATGCACTCAAATTCACATCCATACCCAATAGCTGAACCACCAATGTGATGAAGTATTCACTGCGATTCATGACAAGCACTCAATGTAGGGGAAAATCATATCCACTTTTATTATTTAAAGAAAAAGGTGGAGAAAATTATTCAATTAAAATAAAATGCTAATTAATGTGTAAAAATAGAAAGATACTGCGTTATTTTCGGGATAGAAAAAACTATCGTCACTCTTTATATCGATATCGAATAGGTATATCGCAGTCTGGTGGTGCTATACCAAAGCCTACTCGATTCTTCACACAGCTAATATTCATATTTGTCTCCAGAAATTCATAATCAATATTCTGAAGAATCAGTGCCGTACATATTTTGATTTCATTTTTAGCAAAATGCCGACCAGGGCAAATTGTTTTACCTGACCCAAATGTTAGAAAACCCTTGATAGTATCAGTGGTTTTACCAAGAAATCTGTCAAACTTATAGATTTCAGGCTCTGGAAAATAATTTGGATCACTATGCATCACTTCTGGAAACAGCGAAACCATATCATTTTCTCTAACGGGTATCATTGTGCCATCTGCGAGTGAAATTTGTGTGTCTTGATAACATTTCCTAGAAACCATGGGAGTACCTTTGATACGTAACACTTCGTTGATAGCACTTTCGAGATATACACATTTGGCAATGTTACCCGATGTCCAGAACTCAAAACTTTTATCGTTTGGATCGGAGAATGAGAACGGTGGAAGATGAGTACAAATTTCTTCATTAATTTTTTGAAGTGCGTGTGGATCGCGGAGAATATAGAATAGAGACCAAAATGTAGCTGGTATTGTGTTGCCCACAGATGCCCAAAAGATGGACGTCTGAGATGCACCTAAATCGTTAGGTTGTCGGCTTTCCGCTTCAAGTATTCGCTTTGCACGATGGTAAACAAGCTCACTTTCATTGTCTGAATGGGGATGTGCATTGAAGTAGGCAGTCATATTAGAGCGAGCATCCATTTCACGCCGCAAAAATAGTGAATAAATAAAATCAGGTAGTAAGGATGCAAAATAATGAAACTTCTTGTCAAACAAGAGAAATTCTTTCTCAAGCAATAATGGATTTATATCACCAAATAAAGTACGACCTGATGCTTCAAATATCATCCGATGACTCAATTCCAGTAGACTGTATGGATGCCATACATGACAACCGATTCTTGCACGATCCTGTATCATCACGTCACGCACACATTTCGAAAATCGTGCTGTCAGGAAATCAAGCGATTCAGTACTTTGAAGATAGAGTTTGAAGTAGCGATGAATTTCATTCATAATCGGTTCGTCATCTATACAAGAAAACCAAACTACTATAAAATCTGTAGCTAGTGATAACTTCCTTCTGAAGACAAGTTTCATTTGTGTTTCATAGATTTAATATGTAGAAAAGTTCGCAGGCAGTATTATTTTTTTTTCTCCACTATAGGAAACATTAGACTCTATATGGCAAATATTTAAACATTAATCGAAGTAGAAACCAAAACAAATAGGCAAGAAATGCTTATTTGCGAAAAAGAAAAGCTGGCATCTATAGACAGGTAGAGTGATCATTAAATCATTGGAAGACAATTTTCAAGTTGACGATAGGATTATCAATTGAATTTTCTCAAAACATCATTCATGAATTATAGATAGTAGTGAAACCGAAAGAATCGTGCTTTGACTTTGTTTCTAATGGACATGGTGATGTTAAAGTTTTAGGCCTCATTAGTTCAGACTTGAGTATGTTTCTGTATAGGAAACTTACCGAGAAAACCTCTAGATATACCGAAAGTTTTTGTTCCAAAATCCTTGACTGGTAAGGACAGATTAGGATTGCGAATAACAGGTGACCAATCATTAGGATCCAGAAGGAATATCATGCGTTGAGAAAATAATTCGATGAAAAATCGGGAACCATAGGAACGTTGACATTCAAATATAAATTTTGATTTATCCTTGAGAAATGGTATAAGATGACCAATGATAGGCAAGCATCCGTTTTTCACAAACGGAATCGGCAATGAGGTATTCGAGGCTCCTTTGAATTGACGAACCAATGTATATAAGAAAAAGATCAAAAGTAAGACAAATATCAATGTTAACAACATTGCAGTCAATAAGCTAAAGATCTCTGGAAGAATCGGCAAAGTAATTTGAAATCACGTGGAAGTGATCTAGAATAATGACACTAATATAATGCACAGAAATTTTCGAGTATACAAAAAAAGCAGTGACATCTTTGCTATTGGAAAAAGTAATACCGGTTCACAGAATAGATGCAGTATAAATATTGTTCGCAATATAGGTTTTCACGAGTGTAAGTGTAGTCATGTGTGACTTATACGCGTTACTAATGGCCTTATGGTGAGAAAATGACCAATGAAAAAAGGTATTGTATGTTTGTTGGTAACATAGATAGTCTGAAGGACGGTTTTTCAATATTGCAATATAGAATGTGTCGTGAGAGTTTCATCTTATTAAATCAAAAGCTTGCTAGAACACTTATGCTATAGAGACTAAAATATAGAACTTACCAAACTTTCTGAACCTACTGAGCTAATACAAAACAACTAAAATACAAAGTATATAGTAAAAATTTGCCTTACTGCAAACGTTTATAACGGTGTCGTGCTCCGGTTGCTAATGACTATTATCTTATTGCTCTCTCTAAAAGTAACATTTCTGTCACTATGAGCCTCCATTGGTAACCATTTTTTTATTCTAAACATGGTCGGTAGAAATGAAAAAACTTGAGCCCGAAAGTTTGAAATGTTTATAGTTGTATATGCTTGCTGGCTAGAATTAAAAATGGTTAAAAGAGTGGCATCTAAATCTAAAACCAAAAATAGTTTTACTCATGGTTAGAATCCTGAAAGAAATCTTATCGTACATCTTTTTTTTTTATAGAATATATACATTGCCTGTTTATTTTGTGATGGGTATCCTGTTTGTTTTTGTGCATTTTGTAGATCCTTTCTAGAAATTCAACTGGTTACGAGTAAGTATCGACACCATTATAGAGGTTCATCTAATCATACAATGGAAAAAAATTTCGTGGTTAGATGAATTCAAAAATACCTTAATATAGGGTGTGGGTGTGGAAAAAGAGAAGTGAATTTCCACACCCACACCCAGGCTACAAAATACTCATTTTATTTTATTTCCATCGTAGCTAGCCAATTGAAAAGTCTGCAAAAACGGTTTTTCATCGTTGAAAGTTGACCTTTTAGTACGTCTTCAGTACTATTTAAAACGTTGTTTCCTTAACTTTCTTCAAAAAAATGCTCGACATGTGTTTTGTGAAAAATTGAATGGCACATCTATTAGAGAAAACTTCAACCCTGTACAATGAAAATTGAGCGAGATATTAATGAAATACTGAGACCTTAATTTATTCTGGGTCACCTGTTATTTCACATATATGGGCATCGTAGTTTATACAGATAATTCCTAATTTGCCCTGTAGCTCTTGTCCGAACAGAAGTTTGCTCATCCGATTTGTATGATAGCCATCCTGTGACATTTTTTATAGGAAGTCTCTTCCAAAAGCTTGTAACCATATTTCATAATGTTTTCTTCGTCGTGTGACGGTCCGCAATACAACAAGATGACCCCATCGTCGGAACTACTGGCACATGGCTTGTAGTAGCCTGTTGACACCTTCATGAAGGCTATTTCTTCAAGTTGTCCCGCACGATATTTGGTTTTGGCAAGATCCCACATCACATTCAATTGTGATTTGTGGTAGAATTGCATCCATTTGCCATCAGTTTCTGGATACTTTTTAGCAATTTCCGGCTCGTGTTCGTATAGCCAAGGATAGATTGTGATTTCAGTTGGTTTGAGGTTACAGTTAACGTAATATTCGGTCGATAGCATTTCTGAAAAACGAGAGAGAGAGTAGTTTCAATGAAATTTACTTGTAGTAATTCTCTTTTCACATTAAAGTGAGAGAAACAGACAATATTTATGTGTAGCATATCTTGGTGTTGTTAGGACCCGCTATCCTTTTTTAAGTTTTATTTTACCAAAAAAAAAGAAAGTAAATAATAACAATACGAGCGATAGAAGGCATTAAAAAGGTCATTATCGACCAGGATTGCTTTGAAAACGAACGACAATTTTAAGGAGGGTGTGGGTGTAGGCGCAAGTACCACACTCACACACTATGAAAAAGTATACTTTAATGAAACCATTTGGAAGAACAGTGAATATTAATGTTTTAATAATTAAGTAAATAACAGCTACGAAATACATTATTTTTTTGAATTTTCAAGAGTCTTTATAACGTGAGATTGAAGTATCAAGATTGAACTTCTCACATCTTTTTTTGAATTCCGTTGACTCACAAATGTGGTTCCAAAATGGCGCAAATGAAAAAAAATTATCGATAGATAATTAAAACGACGTTCAACATATGTTAGCCACTATAAAATTCAGAAAAATAATGTATTTCGTAGCAGTTATTTACTCAATTATTAAAGCATATTCTTGTGACGATTTTAGATAGAAGAGATGCCCGTGCTGGTGGTATTACACTTTATTTGACTTCTTCATATCATAAATCGCACTGACTACATCTAAAGCACACACTTAAATATTCAATCATTTGAGAGAACGAAAGAGAATGAGAGGGCATGAGAGATAAAGACACATACCCAGGTCGAACAGTCCGGCCTGGAAACAGTCAGTTCTGGGTAGTTCCGTTGATTTTGTGGAAGCAGTGTTCCGGTTGGAAAATTTTCGGATGTTTTTCAGTGATTTCCAATCAATTCCTGCCGGAAAGCACCCGAATACTGTTTCCATGTTCCAGCGATTTCCCGTGTTTTCCTGCAGGATACGGTGACTTTCCCGCATATTTCCTGGAGTATCCTACGGGATCCGGTGGCCGGAATGTTCGACCTGAATATCAAGTACAGAAAGATAAAGGCAATAGGTGAGATGAGAAGAAATGGCGCCATAATGCCAAATATCATGCATAGGTTACACTCGAACGGGAGCGTTACACCCCCCGAATGAAATTTAGACGCTCTCCACATATAACGTTATAATACTTTAACGGTTTTAACACAGTGAATCTTACAGATAAATGAAATAGACAGATATTCTTACTTGAAATAATAATGAAGACATAAAAACTAAATGTTGTTTACTTTTAGCGCCACGATATTTCAAATTTGTGTACAAAAATTTTAATTCTCAACAAATTTGTTTAATTGATAATGTAAATGAGGCTGATATCAGAGGAAGAAGACACGAGCGAGGATAAATCCTAGTAGCTGCGGTAACGTACCCATATATAGAGGGTGTGTAGAGCTGCCCCAATTAACTAGTAATCTTGATGTTCATGATCACAAAGTTACATACGACCAGTAAGGTCGATCGATTTCATATTGCCCAATGTGTCTAGAGCAGTGGACTGTTTGTAGAATTCATACCACGGTGCTCACATATGGTTGTTAGATGCTAGTACTGAATGGAAAGCTAATTAAAAGGACAGATCAAGCATATTTATTTCTCATTTTCTTGGTAAATTAATAATTATTATTAGTCTTTTTCATGAGTTCCTTTACTAATAAACGTTAGCATTTTCACATAAATATAAATATGAAGATTCTTCTTCTTAATTTGCAGAACAGGGTCATAAAACTTGTCCTGTGGATACCTCTGATACCAACTCACTACATAACGTTATTTTTCTTTTACTTTAACAATGTCATTTATTTGTGAAAAACTTTTTTCTAATAAACTAAGATGGCACGCATTTGTTCGGGTATGAACATAAAAACATGAAACACTTTCAATTGCGCGAATATATTTTGAGGTCATCATTTGTCGTTAAGATTATTGTAATTTATCGTGGAAATTGGAATTTATTTGATACAAGAAATATAATATATTGAAGAAAAGAAAACAAAAATAGTTAAAAAAGAAACGCCTGCATTAACTTATATTCGTTTCATCGGTTGATAAAGTAGTATCGCTTGAAGTCGTATCAAGTACGACATCAGGTTGTTTCTCAATAATTAATAAATTACTTGGACACGATGAAGCTATATGCATACTCTTCATATTAGTATTTGATTTTTGTCGAAGTAATGATGATGAAAGAGGAATCGGTTTTGTAGGTGATAAAACTTTCTTAACAAGCATTGTTGCTTGTGCAGCTTCATTTTGTTTGGCTCGAGTCATTGCACTAATAACAGCAGCTCGATCAAGTTCACGTTGATCAGGCATTTGTCCATCTAACCAAACCTAGTTTTAAAATGACAAATAGAATTATTTCACGCAGGAAAAACAAAATATTGTTTACATCTTTTGCTCGATTATGAAACACAGCAAATATACGTATACGATAATCAACAATGCGTGTCAATGGATTATTTTTCAAGGAAAGATTTTCTAAGCATGGCAAACTACCAAGTGATTCAATATTTTTAATTGAATCTAATTTATTCGATGATAAATTCAATGTTATCAATGAATAAAGACGTGACAAGCCATCGGTTGTTATCAATTCATTGCATGATAAATCTAATGAACGTATATTGCCAACCCGTGCATTGAAATCTGATACGTCGTGTAAATGATTATTTGATAAATTCAAATTTTGAAGAAAATGCAAATGTTGTAAATGATCGATAGTAGTTTCTAATAAATTATAACTCAAATCTAATGTTTCTGTTTTACAAAATAATTTCTGAAAGAAACAAGCAGAAAAAATATATTGTTTATTAGAATAAATGATAGTTATTTCCGTGTAATACATACTAGTGATTCATCAAGAAGATGAAGAGAATTTTTACTTAAATCAAGATGAGTAACAAATTTCCATGTACTTATTAACCATTCATTGGATGAAGGTGGAATTTCAGTAAGAGAACTTAAAGCAATTTCCTAAAAGAATTCGAATGTTTTTCTTAGAATTTAAGATATTTGTATAATTTATCATACACGTATCGATGTTAGACTACGATGAATTGATAAACGGCGAACAGTTTTTTTTAGATTGTCAATACCAGTAATTTGATTCATTTGAACACAGTCAAGCTAGACGAAATTACCGCATAGGAATGAATTCTAAACGAAAATAATCATTACATACTTCAAGTTCTTCGACTGATTTGAAAAATGACACATCAAATGAAAGAAATTGAGTTTTAATGGTACTTGTACCAAAACTATCAGGATTGCCAACAATCTTAAACAGAACAACAGATTTTTTAGATTATTCTATGTTGTCGTTAATCATTCATTGCCTAAGAAGTGCTGGCAACATACTTGTACATACTTGACATAACATAGAAAATCGAAAACATGACTTAGATCTTTCACAGGATCATTACTGTCTAAATCACAAATTTAAATAAAAAATATATTAAAAGATTGATAAAATAAAAATGGTACGCCTTAACTTTTCTCATAAAATCCTGTAGACAACATCTTCCGCCTTTGAAATCGAGCTCAGCGCATAAGGTACAGCCTAGTTATGGACCATACATCTCAAGAGAAGAAGTATTTTTCAGAGTCAAAGATGTTCTTAATCATGCAAAGACACTTGAATCCGTTGGTTTTTTTATCAGCAAAAACTTAAATCGAAACATCATTATCTGAGTTGTTGCTATGCATCATATCTGAAGTTGCAATTCCAATGCAATATCTATCACTCTAGACTAAATGTGCTTAGTATCCGGTAAATTTTACTGACGCGATTCAACACATTTCTTGTCTAGATACAACCTTATGTGCTGAGTTCGAATTCAAAAGAAATTATCGATGTAAAACTATCCTTCACAATTATGTTCAGTTCATTAGAGAATTTAGTCATTGAAAATGATCGTCTATTTACCACAGGGAGGTTCAGCTAACTTGATACGTCGAGTAATTGCATGCATTTGAAGTGGACTTATAGAAAAAGCTTTTTTTCCAGTTGTTGATAAAAGTTTTTCCCCATTTAAAAATAATTCCTCTGCTAATTTGCGTACAATTCCATGTACTTCCTATCACATAGAAACACAAATTAAGAACAAAAAAAAAGTAATCCGATCTATTTACATAAAGATGAAAATCTAGAAATTTCACAAAACATTCAGGTAATTGCATTGAATTCGCAGTAAAAAATTTAAATAAATATTTTAAATAATTATCTAATGCTGAACGTCTTCGATGAATAAAATCGGGTGAATTGTTATTTAATATTTTTTTTGGCGGTAAACTTTTTGCATCAATACTTGGGATCTGTTTTATTAATTCTTCATGAAATTCAGCAAATTCACTATAACGTTTTTTAACATGCCATTTTATATCATCGAGGAAGATTTCAATGGTATACTCCTGCAAAGAGAAAATATCAATAGATATAAAGTTAATTTTGTTTCGTGTTAGTCTTACCGTAAACTTTTGATCTGTATGGAAGTTTGTTATTTGTATCTCACGACGAATCCCTAATTGCGATGACGTTAGCCATAAAGCCATTAGGTTTATTTTACAAATCTAAATATTGTAAAATTTTGCTTTTATGTATATGTGATAATCAATGAAGAATACAGCAACAACAACAAGACTAATATATATATATATATATATATTCATATAAATACATACTCACAAAAAACAAACAAACAGATAAACAAACAGGCAAATAAGAAAAGAAAAGAAATTTAATAATTCGTATTTTAGTTTCTCTCCTAAATGACAGTTGTCGTTGGTGAATTGTTCGTATTAAGCGTTGGCTTTTTTGATGGTGGTTCAATATCATTCTCAACTTGATCAAACGATCGTTTCGTTGATGTAGTTTCTTGTTGATAAACAATCGAAATTGAAGAATTTGGCGAATTTCGTTTATGGTCACTCGAAAGCATAGAAGAAGAATTTGCTGAATTAATTACATTAGTTGCTGTGCATAGTTGTTGTTCTTGTTCTTCAATTAATCTTTCAATCATGTCACTAGAAGAAATAGATTTTTTTTATTGAGAATGAAAATTTGATAAATATAATAATAGAATTTATCCTACGAAATAAACTAATCTGTTATCGAATTAGATCAAACAATAGTTTAATACGGCTCGATAGCAAATGTAAGTTTTGCCTGATTGCGAAATTTGATTCGCTCATTAAGTTGATAAATTATATTCACAAAGTATTTACATAATTAATTACAAAAAACTGTATGATTGCCAAACTGTAAAACAAAGTATCTTATTTTCGTTGATTTCTATAGTAAATTTTGCACTAGTTATGATTTGTAGTATGTGGTATCAAGTTTCTGTCGTTGTTTTCTGAAGAAAAACTGACTTTTTATAGAAGTTCGAGTCTAGTAGGTTCTAGGACGGACCTATTTATTTCTTCTAAATAAAGCAGAGAGTTACCCAAACAAGTATATTTTCCGAAAAATAATCATTCGAAATGTTCTGAAGAGTATTTCAACAGGTTTGACAATATCTCTCGTGGGAGCGTTTTTTTAATAGATGAGTTTAACTTATATTTTGATTATTGATGTATAACAGCTATCAACATTCAAACTACTAGAAAATTAGCCACAAGAACTGAAAACATACGTGACAGAACTGATTGCACTAAGACGTTGCTGTTCTTCGATAAATGAATGAAATCGTTCACTTTTTTTCCATTGATAATAGTAATGAATTATTTCACGAACACTTCGATTTTGACACTAAAATAATCAGAAGAATCATAACGTTTTTTTTCATAACCATTCCAAAACAAAAATATGAGTATTACTTTATAAAGAGCTATTTTATGGAAATTTTTTCCATATTCACGTAAACCTTCTTCAAGATGTTGAATTTCATCGAGAGTCCATTCACAATAAGTATCTAAGACATGATTCCAAAAATTTGTATGAACTAGAAAATTCAATACTTACAAATTGTTTTCACAGGTAATTGACGAAATTTAACAAGTGCTGATTCTGTATCCATTTGACAATTGAATAGAGTCCGAAGTGATATTTCAACATCAGCAAATGAATCTTTAACAAACAAAAACTATAGAATGAAAGATAAACAATTCATTTACTAACATTCATTACGAATCGTTTTGAGATAAATATCAATTTTTTCATCGTCTTCGTTATTCACAGAGGATGGCGACCAAAGATGTTCATCAACAGGTACTAAAAATAAGATTTGACAATATATTTTGATGAATGATAAATAAAATGATTCTTAATCGCATGAACAAAAAAGTATTAGAAACAGCAATAAACTCTATGCGGGCCATATGCACTTGTATGACAAACATATATCTAAGTATAATTAGTTCTAGTACATATTTTGTACAGAATGTCATATAATAATGAATAATCATCGTAAATTGTATTTTTAGTTTTTTCAAAATTCCACCTCGATTTTTGACTTAATTGAAATTGTTTTGCATCAAAACAGAGAAAATATACCGTGCAGTAGGAATAGAGATAGTGATCGAAACAGCTTGAATTAAAACCGTATAATAAGCAGAAAAAAAAGATTATATTCCGTACCAGGCTCTACTATTGAAATGCGGAGACTCTACTAGTTAATTAAAATTTAACATTTCGAGCAGAACTTCAAATGACATGCTATCCATCATACCTTCTCTATCGTCCTTTTTTCCATTGATTGAATTAAATTCAGCTTCTACTTCAACAATTGCCTGGTATTCCTCACCAACTTTGATAAACTAAATAGATCACGAATAAAGATGCATTAATAAAAATCTTCTTCTAAAATCCTAACTTTAACAATTTCTGGTTCGAATGAATCATCTGAATCGTTATCATCATCGTTTTCAGCTAATAAGTGACCATTGCCTTGAAGAAAATGATGCAATTGAGGGCGACGATCGTTTCTATTAACATCATCAGAAGAACTAGTTGACTGAAATAAAAATAAAATTTTTAAAAAATACAACTATTTTTCATCATGATCTGACTTCATTATCATCTTCATCCGGTGGTTTATTAAGAACATGTGATGTATTTTGACCATATAATTTTAATAATTCATCCAAAGGCAAATCTGCATCCTAAAAGAAGATACAAATAATTTAAGATCCAACCAAGAATAAATATTTACAGCCTGCAGATTATCTAATTCGTCTTCTTCATCATCACTACCCAACTGTTCTTCTTCCTCAATGGTCCTTTCATCATCATATTCTTCATCTTCATATCGAACTTGATAGTCATCATCATCTAAAAAAATTTTGTCTAATTTTTTTTATTGAAGAAAAACTTCAAATTACAGTTTAATTCACCTGCGGTGGATGGATCTGTTGAGTTTGAAGCCATTTTGAGAGATTTTCATATAACAATATACGAAATAGGAATAGAAATAGGAATAAGATAAGTCAATGTCAATGTCCAATATTTTCAAATTATTTGATTGGATCGAAATGTTTGATTACTGTATAGTAATGCATGAGACGTGTCGCTAGCGTACGTATGCGCTTAATAACACATTATATACTTTCAAAAGCATTGGTAATAACTGAATGAAATAAAATATCTATTTAAAAATAAATCATGCGATCAAGAACAAGTCATTGTAATGCAAAAAGAAAACAATGGATTTATCAAGTATTTATTGTTTTAGTAAAGAACTATCAGACCTATTGATAGATAGAGAAAAGGATTTAAGTAGTAAATCGATAGCAAAAGAATTATAAAGATTCATTAGAAAAAATCTTCCGGTGTCTCACTGGGAAAAAACGTAGATATACAAGGCATCACATTTTCTATTTCAAATGGCGAAACGAAACCATATCTGACTGACACATTAATGCTAATTCGTCGCGCAAAAATGTGACTTAATTCTGTTTTAAAGTTTTTTGCTTTGGTTAGAGTCTTAGGTCAACGTATACAATCGTTTCTTATGCTGGATGTAACGAAGTTTTTTCTCTTCATTGGCTACCAAACTTAAATTGTGCATGAAGAAATCACGCTGTCGTTTCAAACAAAGACTATTCAAATGATGAAATTGATTTTTTCAATCAAATATTATTTAACATTATTCTTTCAAAATCTACAATAGAATCAACCAGAGCTGCTGTAAATTCGTTGACTTTATGAAGATGATAATGTTTGACTGTCGAGAAACAAAATAAACAATTTATTTGGAAAGTCTACTATGAAGTTCTTGAGAATAGTTAAAACATTAGTGTTCACAGAGAGTACATAATTATTGAGCAGTTAATACAAACTTCTACTACTTCAATGATATTTTCATTTCTGACGATTCTACGATCCATATTGTTATTCATAGTTGTATCAACACTTACGTCGAGAGCTTCGTATTCATATTGTGGTTAAGTATCATTGATTTTTCATTTTCACTCAATACTAAATAGAATACTTTCATTCGACTACTATATCAGTAAGTAGAGTGTATTTTAATGATTATAATATATATATATATATATTAAGAGTATTCAAGGGCTAAGACTACTGCAAAACCACTGGACATCCAAATTAGCATGTTGGTTTAGTTTTCAAGTGCAATTAAGAAGTTAATTTCTTCCTAAAATAATATATCTATAGTGGTTTCATGAGTAAATTCACTTCATTATTTTTCTATAAGTCATATCTCAAACGATATTTACTCTTCAAAAACAACTGCAACTGATAAGTTCATTCGTTGGAATGAATCTTACAAGCGTTGAGATAGACATTTGATTTTTCGAAATAAATTTCCCCTTCTAAATATTCAACTATTTTTCATATCGATTCAATATTAGAAAAATAACATATTTATTCAAATAGTGATGAAAATATCGTTGATAATAACAACAAAAAGTAATTTCTCTGATCCTTGCAGGATCATATTGAAGACTTTGAACAATTACAAAAGATTCTTAAAAGATTTTTTTTCTTCTAATCTACTTGTAGAATTGATAAATATAACACATCAATAATTTTAAGAATATCGAATTAATAGAATAATATACAAGATTATTTCTTTTGTATTTTCAAAGAAGTGTAGCTAAAAGAACAATTAAAACGATGATAAGTATAACAAAAATAATAATAGGTATAATACAACACCAACATGGACATCGGCAACCATTGTTTGCTCGACAACAAATAATTTCATCGTCATTCGTTGGGTCATCTGTCTTAATTAAAGATAAAAAGCAGAAGTTTTTTTTATAGAATCACATGAAAAAAGCTTACTGCTTACCCATGCCTCTCGTACATAATTATCTTCTGCAAAACGTCTTGGTCTTGTTGTTGTTGTTACCACTTGTCGTTCTGTTTGATTAACAGGAACAATAGCCCGTTCATTTACATACGAATTATAGTGAGGACGTCGCTCATTTAATTCAATACTATGAATTGTAACAGTCGATGATGCTGATTCGGCTCTTGGGAAAAGATTATTCCAAAAATGTGTCCTATGTTTTCGATGACGACGATGATGATGATGATTATGTCGTTTATGATGTGTATGATGTCGTTGAGCTCGACATACTGGACAATTTGGATCATTGCAGAGTTCAACTTGATCATAAATAGGATCCGATCCTGTTGGTTGTTGAACATTTATCAGTGGTATTGGATTAATACGATTTCTTGTCGAGACAGGTACTAGAGCCATTATATTTATTAGAATAAAAAAAAGAAAAGAAATTAAATAAAACATGACACACGTATTATTTTATGGAGACGATACAGACCTCCCGGAGAGTTTCTTACATTTTTTTCGATCCTTTACAATACAGAAAACAGGTGGTATGGTACAGATTTTGTTGATTCTATTTATAGATTCACATCACTACAACATTTCGTCATTGTGTTACGTCAATGAAATCAATCATAGTGTCATGTTTTGGTTTCTTACATCCACGTCTACGGAGCAACACGAAGATATTTTTCTCAACAAACTGACTTTTATCAAATTTCTTTTTTACTTCATCTAGTCAATGTCGAATGATTTTGCCAATTTGATAAAGTTTGCAAAAGAAAGAAAGAAGATACTATTATCAATGTTGTCTCTTTAAATTTTCATATAGTCAAGTCTCATTTTGGAATGTAAATTTATCACGCCTGCCCTTGTATGGTAGAGGACGCTGGAAGTCGGCTTTTACGTGACAATAATAAACTATAAAATAATTGAAAATACAACGTTTGTAAAGATGAATATTTCAAAAAAAATTGATATTCTTTGTATGAAAATTTTTTTCATCGAATAATCTTTAATCAGATCATTCAGTTCTTTGAAGAAAGGTCGTGCATAAGGCTGTATGGCTATTTTTGTACTTTAACCAGTATCGATATTGATACGAACTACATGTTAATGATGGAAAAGTTTTTATTTTTGAAAGATACTTTTAGTTTATTTCTAGACCTTTTCTATTTTTTCATTCTGCAATAATGGTCGCGTCAACAAGTCAAGTAGCACCATCAACAGGAACCGTTGCTAAATGGAACTCTCGGTTAGCTGGTCATGTACCACATGACGCATCATATTATTCAAAATGCCTTCTCGGTGGTATTCTTGCTTGCGGTCTCACACACACAGCAATATGTCCTCTTGATGTTACAAAATGTAATATGCAAGTAAGTGATTCAATTCAATATTTCAGTTCATATGAACATCTTTTTTCTTATTGTATAGGTTAATCCTGATAAATACAAAGGTTTAGTCAAAGGTATTCGTTTAATTGTTGCAGAAGAAGGAAGCCGAGCTATTTGGAAAGGCTGGTTACCAACATTCTTCGGTTACTCAGCACAAGGTGCATTCAAATACGGACTTTATGAAATCTTCAAAGATGAATACGCCAACAGGTTGGGCAAAGAAAATTTCGAAAAATATAAAGGTCTCGTTTGGTGTGCAGCATCAGCATCCGCTGAATTTTTTGCCGATATTGCTCTATGTCCACTTGAGATGGTTAAAGTTAAAGTTCAAACATCACCACATGGAACGTTTCCGATAGCATTTGGTCAAGCTTGGTCACAAATGAATGCTAACAAAGTAGAAACTGGATTTCCATATCGATCACTCATACCATTATGGTCACGTCAAGTGCCATATACCGTAGCTAAATTTTTCTTCTTCGAAAAGGTATACTATCAGTTTATACTATAATACAGCTGTTATCACTGTTTTTTTTTAAGGTCGTGCAATTATTTTATACTCATGTGTTCACAAAACCAAAAGACACATATTCAAAAGGCACTCAACTCGGAGTTACATTCGCTTCAGGTTATACTGCCGGAGTTATTTGCGCTATTGTTTCACATCCTGCTGATTCAGTTGTTTCGCTACTTGGTAAACCAGCTAATAAAAGTAAAACCTTAGGACAAATTATCAAGGAAACTGGATTCGTTAAACTTGCCACAAAGGTTTGTTTTTCTTTTACGTTAATCGAATAATTTATTTATTTAAATTAATTCTAGGGTCTTGGTACTCGTATTATTATGATTGGTACCTTGACTGGTCTTCAATGGTGGATATATGATACATTTAAAACAGCTTTGGGCATGGGTACAACTGGTGGCAAATAAACACAAAAAAACTTCTAAGAAACTCGTAGTCCAACGTTAGATTAAAATGACCTGCATACTTATGTCACACTAGTGTTTTTTCTTGGCGAATATTTGTATTCCTCTTATTAAAAGAAATATATTTCATTGAATTGTCTCTTACAACAAAACACCTCACTATCATATTTTTAATTAGCATGTGCAGAGCACGCAGCGAACGCATGATTTTAGTTTGAAGTATATACTTAGAGTAGAAGGTAATTCGATAAACGAAACCTATGAATATAATTGATTATTAAAAGATATTTTGAACACTTGAAAGATCAATTTGATGCTGTAAAATATTTATATAATTTTGTTTTCATCTTATTATGTTTGTAAGGTTTTGTTATGTGATGAAATCATCCTCTCTATTGAGAGAGTGTGTTGCCCCTGGTGGTTGAGAATTTAAGAAAAATAATTTTATTATTAAGATCAATCACGAATAGCCGTTAACACAAAATTCGGAAGAGAAATGTTTTGATCTACTATTTGAAATTAAAAAGCTTTCGATCACTACAATATAATATTTATCAATGAAATAAATACTATAAGTACACTTCTATCAAGATAGAGTAAGGTTTTCTTTGTACATAGTTCTATGACTATATGAAAAGATAATTACAATACAATTCTGTCCCGAATCATCAGCTAGACATGATAAAATGCCACAATGTCAATGCGTGTTTTGTTTTCTTTTCCTTTGCTCGCAAACATAGATCGATGACTCAGAAAGACACAACGAACTATATAGACAAACATGACACATGCATTTCATTTATATTAAATATACTTGCATAATTGAACGACACGTTGTTAAATTTTTGTTTTTTTCGTTTATTAATAGATTTGATTTGAAGATAATTTTTTTGTATCTAACTCAAAAATGTCATCCAATGTCCTTGTCTTTGGTGCTAATGGTTACATTGGTTATGGTATAGCTTCAGGCCTTCGTCGTTCTGGTTTTCATGTCTATGGTGTCATTCGTAATGGTCGGCATTCAGCATTACTTGTTCAAAATGAAATTGAACCGATTGTTATTGAATCATTTGAAAAAGTCGATGCTATTGCAGATCAGCTTGGAAAATGTTCTATTATTGTTGATGCTGTTGGTTTTACAAAATCCTTATCTGAAATAATACTTAAAGCAGTAGTTTCAGCTGGTAAACAACGAACGCAAGATGGAAAACTTGCACATTATGCTCCACTTTTTATTTTTACATCAGGCATTATGACATGTCAGTTAGATTTGATTTGATTTTCGAGTTTAAAACTAATTTCTGCTCTCCTATCAAATAGATGGTGATACATCAGTGTATGGATTACGTCCACTCGACGAAACAATTAAACCAAATCCTCAAACAATGGAAATGAAAGCTCGTGAAGAACATGAAAATCTTGTTCTTGCTACATCATCAAGTATTGTTCATACGACTGTTATTCGGCCAGGCTTCGTTTATGGTAGTCATGGTGGTTTTGTTGCTGATCTTTTCTACTCAGAAAAGCCAGCTGTTATTCATGGACGACGTGATAAACGATGGAGTTGGATACATATTGATGATTTAGCTGAAGGATATGTTCTCGTCGCACGAGCATCACGTTCACTTGTATCTGGGCAAATATGGAATTTAGCAGCACCTAACGATAATCCAACATATGAAGAAGTAAGATCAAATATGGCTCGTGTTAGTGGACAACAAATAGAATATAAAGAAGCATCAAGCAGTGATAGAACACCTCCTCGTTGGGATACAGATTCAATCATTAATCCATCGAAGGCTATAGAACAACTAGGTTGGCGACCAAAGCATGTCGGTTATATACAAGAAATTGAAACATATTATAAATCATGGGCTGCATATAAACAACAGCAATAGATGAAGATGAAAAATAATTTTTATGAATTGTTTGTATTCATGCAATAGACTAGTTTTTAATGAAGTTATTTCGATCTGAATAATGAAATATTTCTCATATGTCAGTATTTAAATCGCTATCTGACGTATTTCACACATTGTTCTTTCTAAAAGAAATTAAATATGAGAAATTAAAAAAACAGATTCTTATTAGGTTCCTGCTAAAAAATCAAAACTTTTTGGTGCTACATCTATTCTAGTGTTTATTAGTACTAAGCACGAGTAGTCCGTTTTAGTCTTATAGAGACTTGACGGAGAAACAGATTATTTCTCCACTCAGACACATATTATATGAATCATTTTTCTAAAGAGTAAATCTTCTCTGATTAAACGTACAGATACTCTCGTCTGTGGGAGTAAAGAATGACTTAGTAGCAATGGTGACACCAATTATTCATATTTTCTTTTGTGCATACGCATATGTAGAGGTGTCAGCCGTACGGCTGAGCCGCCGCAGCAGCCGATTTTTCAATAATATCAGCCGCCGCAGCCACCAAATTAGTAGTAATTTTAAGAATTTTGGGGGAGCCGCCGCTGCGAAAAAACAAGTTTAGCCGTTGCGCCGCTGCAAGAGATAAAAATTTTTGATAGCGTTATTTGCCGCCGCTGACATCAATACATATGCGATCGAATCGAACATTTTTCTTTTAATTTTCGTCAGTGAATTTTGAACTGAGCCGTCGTCGCCACATAAGGACTCACAAATATCAGCCGACGCCGCCGCTGTGAAAAAAATTTTAAGAATTTGTAGCAGCCGCCGCTGAAGACATTACTCATTCAAATAACGAGCCGCTGGAAATCTTCAAAAATTGAAAACTGTTGCCCGCCGTCGCCGTTCAACCCTTCGGCTGACACCTCTACGCATATGATCACAATAAGATTTATATTAGTATCCAATACCATCTACATATAACAACAAGGAGTGTTGATCTTTCAGTCAACTTTTAGATTTCTGTAAACATCGATGCGAAAATTAAAAAGATTTTTTTCAATCATGGGCAGATGACATGTAACAAATAATCAATTTAAAAATGCGATCGACAATTGCGGTGTCAAAATTCCAACAATAACTAAGAATTTTGTTCCTTATTAGCTATGTTATAATTAATTTTTTTTCATATTATGCTTTCGCTTTCTTATCGACCAACAAATACTTTTGAAAAAATGTTTTGCTATTTATCTTTATAAAATATTTCTCTTTTCGTAACACATCAAGAACACAGAGGTTCCATTCAATGTATATACATATGTATATGATAGGAATGTTTTTTTCGATTGTTATTTCAATTATTTCTCGTATCAAACTCACGTCTTTATCTCACGTCTTATATACATGCGCATTTTCTTTTTTTTTTCATCCATATTCATTTATTCTTCATTTGCAATGGGTAACAATACATCACAAGCTTCAAAGCATAAGGTATTTTCAAATCATAACTCGTAATAAAATCTATCTATTTTGCTTTTACAGACTCCATCATTGATAATCACTCACATGGGTGATTCAAAGGTACCAAGAACCACATCGTTAAAAACGATTCCATTATCATTAGGTGCAGCGTCTCTTTCGTGTTTAGCTGCTGAACACAATCAAATACACGATCAAGAGTCACTCAATGCTTGGCGAACAAAAGCATTGCATACTGTCGATGAATTTTTCGAGCAAAAAGCATCTCATTTAAGACACGAAGCACATGTCAGTGCACTCCTAGGTCAATTAAGAGCGATAATCGACGAAGAAATACCTCGTCAAACAAATGGATATCTTATGGATAATTATCAGCTACAAGAAATTCCACCGATTACAAATGATATGAAAGAATAAAAATAGCTCTTCTTTCTGTTTTTTGTTTGAGTCACACGGTCTCTTTAATCTAGTATCAAAAAATAAAAAATAAACCAGAATGAAACCAACAAAAAAAAGAATGCAACGAACTCCAATGACACACTTTAAAGTAGTTATGCAAATGATAAATTCATGTTTTAAGATTTCAATGTAGATATGTCTTTCACTAGCTGGCTGATTTTCATTAACAGTTAGTTAAAGGAGCAAGTATAATTTGAAGTTAAACGACGGTTGCATACAGTGTGGCTTATCGAAATCTGAAACAAAATGTTTTTGTACATTTTGTTTATGTGAAAAACGTGTATCTTCACCCGTTGATTTTATAAACAAAGTGTATCAAAGTGTAAATAAACGAAAAGAGTTCAGATAATCTAGAAAGATAATAAGAAAAATTATTTTTTTATCTGTTTCATAGAGAAAGTAAGCCACATAGATTATAAACAACCAAACAAGAGCATTACTAGGCGTTCCTATTTTTTATCCAATATTATCACGTTTAGTTGAATACTTTTCATTCATAGCATGTACGGTTTTTGATGAATTAATAAATACATTTTTACGTAGAATTTCGATCTCACAATGTGAATCTGTTGATACAGCGAGTGAGGATGACGATGGCAGTAATTTAATTCCGTCCAAGCAGACAAAGATTTCGTGAAATGCGTTTTCGCGATCTAAAATCAAACTGTTATTTTCTTTTTCAAAGTGTAAGCCTTACATTTTTGTTTTCTGAGCAACGTGTAAATCAGAGTGTATTTCGAAAACAGTAGGTGTTCCGCGCATTATGCTCTGGCTGTGTACACTTGCTGTTAGAAAACATTGGTTGTATAGATTCATCTTTGCTTAAAATGACTCATACGATAAATCAATTTTCATCTCTTCCGAATACATTATAAGTTGGATGCGAATAAAGATTTCACGGTTTCACTTTGAAACGAATTGCTCCGAGGCAATTCAAATATATCGCAAACTGCTTTTTTCCTAGCATTATTTATGAATAGGGAGCTTTTCGAATATATTTTCTTATTATCTTATGTAACTTTATCATTTTTAGCATAAAAACAATCGGTTTTTATTTTAGCCAACTTTTAGATCAATTGGAAATCAAATTTTAGAAATGAGCGTACATAATTGACGTTATCAATATTGGTACACCAGTAGTTTATATCAAATGAAGACGACAGTCAAACGATGAAGTCTCATGAAGATTATAATATTTTTATGTTCCGTGAGACCATTTAATAGCACAGTAAAACAAAATACAATTCGTTTCTTACGTTGTATTGTTGATTTATTTTTGTCTAATATTGCCCCATAAAAATAAGACCGCAGATTTATTTGACTTGTACATGGCAAACTAAAACTTGCTAAGTATAATCTAAACTAAATAGATTGTCGGTAGACAGACTTTGTTTGTGCTGTTAGAAGTTTAGGATTTCATCGCGCCTATTTGTTAAATAGAAAATTACATGAATATTTATTTTGTGAAAGAAATATGTTAATTCGATAAATATTGTCTTCTCTATTATGAATAATTAATGTTGACAACCGTTTAACCCGGTGACTATTTTTTCGTTATTAGAAACTCGATTTGACTGGTGTCGCCCTCTCGTCCTACGATCTGCGCGATTCGGTATTTATAGTTGCTTGCTTGCCTACTTGGCGACATGCAACTTGTTTTACCTTTTCTTGCTCTTCCTTTGTCCTTCGCAATCTTTAAAAACCTATCTGCACACTACAGATTTCGTTTACTGCACACACCTATATATATATATATATATATATATATCTATAACCTTGTATTCTCTTCTTCTTTATTTTTTATTCTCTTAAAATTTGCAATTATAGTGACGTAAGTAAATTTTTCTTTATTTCGTTTTGGTTTTTCTCATTTATGTACTCACTAAAAGTCTGTGAGTCATATCTCATTCGTGTGTGTTTATAGGTTGTTTCTGTATAAAATATGTAGCAGTATATAAATCAAATCGAGTGTGAGTCACATACGGCATCAAATTTACAATGCCATCCTTTGCGCTCTGTTTTTATTTTCGTGATTCTAAGCGCATGTCTATCAATCGAAGGTAACCAATGTGGTAAAGAGGCTACATAGACGATATAGTTGATTATTTTTATCTACTATGTTACTTTTTTTTCTAAATACGTGTCCAAGAAAAATGAATGGTTAAAATAAATAGACTTGAATCTCGTAAAATCTTCGTGTAATAAAATTCAATCGTCGAAGCACCGTTTTTTACTTCTCTGTGAAGCTAAAATTCTTGTTTTCTTCATGGAAGAAAAAAAAAACTTCGTTTCTCAATCTCATTTTTTTGGTTTCTAGCGTGTTTCTAACAGTACAACAATTAAATTTCAGGATACCTGTTTGGATTTCTTTTTCTTTTTGACGTCAGACAAACACAAAATTCATACATTGTTAGTTGAAGTACATAAGAAAATATAAACTCGAGACATTTAGAAAAAAATATTTCGATGCGTATTACTCACTTCATCTTCAGCATTATTCTTAAAAGAATGCCAAACCATTTTTTTTACTTTCGTAAGAATCAATGGCAATTTCATAATGTGACACGAAGAAACATTCATATCTTACTCGCTCTCAATCCTATCAAGTAACATGATAGTAAATGTTTGTATTATATGTATCCTCACACAGACTCGTATCTGCTTAGTTACATGTTTATCGTTAGGTTAAATATACGTAGCGTGCATGCAGTATGATGCTTTACCCACTGCTCTGTCACTTCTGTAATGCAAAGTCCACATGTGAAGTAAGAGCAAGATTCACTATTATTTTGATTACATGAAAATATAAATTCTAAATTGTAGTTTTCTTATTTGACAGCATATTTTCTTGAAAAGATATGTGCAATGAAGATAGGTGAGAGTTTGAAAGTAAATCTTTAATGATAATTATAGATTTTGCAACTGTAAATTACATACGAAAATAGATCATACGTTTGATAGCAACAATTCAATAGTAAAAATTTAATTGAAATAGATTTAACGTTTCGGTATCAATCTAAGGATTTCAAAATTTTGATGTCAGATTTTACTTTCGAAATCTCTTCGAAACAGTCAAACGTTAAATAAGTACTAGGAGCAAGAAAAAAAATCATTTTATCTAGTTTTTAAGAATCTGATGGTTAGACCTCCAAATCTCGATACTATGAACTATAGACTGATCCTTAAACCGTTACTAAAGGTTTACTTTCTTGCATCATATATTCGAATTGAGCGCACAGCAATTCTACTACGCAGAACTAGATTTAGCATGAGTGGTACGGAATATAGTCGGTTACTGTATACATCAGTAGGCAACAAGATATGAAACCAGGCAACCAAAAGGAGTGAGTTTTTTTTTCTTCTGTTTTTTTTAAATTTCACCTTTACCCTTTCACTGATCCATTTCTTTTTGTCTAAATAATCAACAGAAAGTGAAACTTTAGTAGAGCAAATTATGTTTATTTCATAAAGAAAAAAGTTAACAAAGAATAGTTCTTATAAATCATTCATTGTCAGTACAAAAAATGTTAATAAGAAATAACTGCCGAATGCATGTCTTAGAATAATTCGAAATTCGTATTAGAGATTTGAATTATAAAATAGAAAAAAAATTGCTAGTTCATGTTATTAAACGATACTAATAGGAATGTATTTTTTTGCGGTGGTTGTGCTTTGCCTATGACTATTTCTGACAATGACTAATATCGTAGTTGTATTTGTTCTAGTGGCCGATACGACGATTAGATAAGAATGCTCCCTCTGACGCCATTCGGTATAATTCTTTCGTCTTTGAACAAATTGCACTATTAATACTAATACTGTATATAGTTCGAATCAGAAGATTAGCAATCAAAATATTTGATTAATATGACCAAATTTCAAGAAAAGAAATTCAGGTGTTCTTTTAGACATGAATGAGAAAATCATCGTTTACTCATAATAGCATTAAGAATTGACTCGTCTATTGATTTAAACAATGTAACAAAGGTAACTTTTATTACAGTTCTTATGGTATTATTCAGCGACAATAATACAAAAGTGTTAGTGTGGCGTTAAGATATAAAATACAATGAATTTACTGCGCTAAGTACAACGATCAATAATCATAAAAATATCTTTTTTTATACTCCAAAAAAGCAACAATTATATAAAGACGATGAAATCTTTTATTTTTTTATCAATAAAATTTCTTATACTTCTAGATGTCTCATGAAGTGTCTTCTCTCCCATCTTCCCAATTGAGTATAATTGCTGATCTATCATCATCGTCTTTCAATTTTAAAAAGCTCTACAAACAGCTTTCAAATGAATTACTCCCTAACTACGATCATCATTATTGGCACTTCGGTGGCCTTCGATCCTTTACAATCCCATTCCAATCGGGTCAGGATGAAACAATTATTGATGATTATACGACAAAATTAAAACTATTACAAAATTATTTGTCTCTCTTCCCTCCATTTTGGATTTCATATAGAAAATGTCAACAACAACAACTTCTATCATCATCGTTATCGCCCGAGGTTATCAAAAAGAATCTTAAGTTAGGAAAATTCTATACGAATAACACATTTCAAATAGAATACACAGCAGGTGCACTTGTTCAACTAGATAGATATGTTTATGATGTAGAAACAGAAATAAAGGATGGGTGGCGTTTAGTTTTCTACCACGATAGAATTGATATTGATTACGGTTGTAAAGACAATAGATTAAGAAAAACACTGAAAGCTGAAATGATAGATAAATGTGTTGTTATAATGACCGAACAAAATAGAATAACTCTTTTTATTAATATGAATGGAAATCTAGTGGACTATAAAAGTTTACACGACGACAAGACTATAAATCTAGAACAGGATTCTTCATTACAAAGAAACACTAACTCGGCAGCTTCATTCATACGTATGGCACCACGAGAGTCACAAACATTTTATTCGACAATTCGTCTTGTTATTTCATTATCAAATGATAATATTGATCAAGAAAATCATACGGGAAATTCAAAACAAGCTTTACATTGTTGTTATCAACGTTTTGAAGAATTTTTTCTTCGTAACCATATTCATGATTGTATCGGAATTATTCAAAGTATACCATCAATCAAAGAAGTTTCGTCAACAATGTCATCATTTATGAATAATTATTCAATGTCATTTATTAAACTATATTGTTGGCAAATGTTACTATCAATTGGTTTTCGTTTTCAACAAAGATTAACTGACAATTTTATTCAAGAATTGAATCGTATTGAGGATGATGATGAATTTTACCAGGTAAATTGAAATAGAAGAAAACAAACGGTTATTTTTAGGTTTTCATTTTCAAAATGGAATTTATTCTTTATGGCAGCACTCAAGTTTTTTATCTAGAAGTTTTTCTTTTCACTTTCCTTTGCCTATGCACTGAATGGTACCACTTTCACTCAAGTTGGACTGTAGAAGGCAAAAATGGATGTTACTTTCTGATACTTCCAGAGCTTCGCAATCGAGGTAAACGATGGTTAAGTAATAACCTTTTCATTGGAGTTACAACTTACTTAATCGTGTTCGAGTATGCGATAAAAACATCTGCGAAAAAAGAAATTCATGTCCACAAATTTATCATCTTTGTGTTTTAATACTTCTTAGATAAAGTAAAGTGCCTGGTCTCAAACTCACCATATTTTATTATTATGATGATAAATTGGAAACACATTGAGTACATTTTTTCCAACCTTGATCATAACGACCACAATGGGTTTTTTTTTCTAACAAAGACATACATTTAAACTCTTCGTTATATTGGTCTGAACCATAATCGGTGTGTGAGAATGCACAATTCTCTATGAATACATAAATTGATATCTTGCAAAATTCAGCAAAGGATCATCTCTTTTTTTTCTATAGAAGAACCTTTTTATGCCATAATTAAAATCCTAATTCAAAACAAAATATACAATACAGCTTTACAGAATGACTCTTGTAAGCAAAAATCAAAGCCATTATTCGTTTGTCAAACTCTTTCGAAAATTCTTGAAAGTGTAATAAGAATAATTGTATTTGAATAAATCCACAACTATACAAAAAAAAATTAAAATCGCTAGAACTAACAATAATTCAAAATATCGAATTTTCTTTGCTTGTATTCTCTAGGCATCCCTTCATTTATGGCGTCGTTCACATGAATATTATTTTATTGATTTATTTGCTGAATTAAACCGTTACAGACAGAAAATCGATTATTTAGCAATGACATCGTCTCATACGAATTATTATCAACAAGAATTTAAAAAAGAAGAACATGAACAAGAACGCTGGAGTTTAAATAATCCACCACGTAATTATGCATACGTTCCATCGGTGACACTAACACCAACAACTATCTGTGTTAAGCCATTTAAATTAGTAAAAACCAATCGAGTATTGCGCGAACGGCAATTCGGTGGAAATCTTATGTTTGCGCTTGTCGATGTAAAAGATGAAAATGGTACTATGGATCTATTTCCACATGATTGTAAGTTGAAGAATTATTTATCTGCATAAAGATTATCTATTGTTTTATTTAATTTAGATCGAGCTTTACGTTGGAAAATTGAAATGCTCCTTGAATCGGGTTTTGACTTAGGCAAAACGGGTCGAACATATCGCTATCTACATCATTCACAATCACAATTAAAAGATAAACAATTTTGGTTCTATCATCATGATAAAAAGATAAACCTGTCATTTGAAGATGCATTTAATTGGATGGGAGATTTTCAAGATGAAAAAATTGTTGCTAAACATGCAGCACGTATTGCACAATGTTTTACAAGTGCAGAAGAAACTATTCAGGTAGAAAATTTTCTTTGGCTGTAAAATTCATATACTTTTTGTTTTTCTTATTGACATAGATTCCATCAAAACAAGTTGAATATATTGAAGATATTCATACTGATGATCGTAAATATAATTTTACCGATGGCGTTGGAACAATGTCAACAATCATACGTGATCAAGTAATTAACTCTTATTTTTGTATTTTACATACGATTGCGTACAAGCGAAGGCTAATAACTATTAGATTTCGAGACAATAATGTCTTACGATGAAATTTCATAGAAGTTCTTTTCATTGGGGAGAGGGGGGGGGGTAATGAATCATTATTGAAAAAATTTGG